ACAAACTTCAAAACGCTACAGAATATTTACTACTGAATATTAATAAGATATTTTTTTACTAAAATTTTTCTTAAATTCTACTCTACAAAATAGCTATCTTAGATTTTTTTTTTACATTTTATTTAAAATTTAAAAATAATTAATATTTTTAATAAAATGTAAAAAAATTAATTATTGAGATATAGCTATAGACCTAACGTCTAACTAATATTTAAAAAAAAAATCAGCTAAAAATATTAACTGGATCAAAAGTTATTTAAGTTGTCAGTGAGTGGTGGGCCACCCTGTATATATATATCTTTAAAAAAATGTAATGATTCATAAATTTTTTAAAAAGTTATAGCTTTATAAAGTTAAAATATAACAAATAATTTTTTTACAATAATCGTATTAAGAGGGATATAAATATTATTTCTCATAAAAAAATTGTATTGGTCCATACACTTTTGAATAAGTTATAGCATTATAAAGTTAAAAATGTAAAATATGAAATCGAGAATTTTCACAAAAAAATAGCATTCGGTAACCATTTTCACTGTGAAGACAAAATAAAGCCAAACATATCTCTTTTTTTTTTTTTACCTTACATGTTGCTATCTTTAACATTAACTCATTAGTCGTTTTATCAGTGACTGCGATAAAACTTTTAAAACATAATAGGAAACCTGTTATTTTTTCATTATTAAACTACAAAAATGACCTAAAAAAAATTTTGCAACCTAAATAACCAGTTTTGTATCATCATTTGAGTTAATATAATTTTTAGAATTGTCGTAACACAGTAAAATGAAAAAGGTAAAGGTGTAAATGTGTAACTATGTGTACGAAGATGAATATGAGGATGTGGTGCCTGCTGTCTAGGTATTCACGTGCATGTTGTCGTACAGCAGTCACCGTGCTCGACTGACACTCCGGGTTAGCTGTGGGTGTCGAAAGGCTGTTGTTATAGGAAGGGAGAATAAGAGTAACACCTAGTTATGAGGTGCAGACGAAGTGCAAGACACAAATACCAGGTGTACGCAAAAGGAGTCCAAAGTATGAGGTGCAGACGAAATGCAAGACACACATACTTTGGGTATAGGAGAGGATAATGAAGTACGAGGTGCAGACGAAGTGCAAGACACAAGTACTTCAAAGAGAGAACGGGGTAGCCGAGTATAAGGTGCAGACGAAGTGCAAGACACAAATACTAGGCGTACCAGGTGAGGAAAAATAACAGAGTACGAGGTGCAGACGAAGTGCAAGACACAAGTACTCTGAAATGTCGAGGAAAAGAGTATATAGGTTTGAAAAGGAATAAACAAAGACTTTACTTTAAACAGTAAGCCGGACAGCGACAACCGAGTACTGAGACTGATGAATGACACAAGGCACTGGAGTCGACTGACGACGATGGTCAGGTCTANGTCGACTGACCACGATGGATAGGTCTATTGGGTTTTTATAATAATTAGAACTATTGCCAAATTGGCAATAAATATTATTTGTTAATTCATCAGTCTCAGGCAGCGGATGTGCTGTCTGTATTTTATTAAAATAATTCTCACGATTATGAAAACGTGACACCATCACANTTCTCACGATATTGGTAACGTGACACCATCACAGAATAGAGAAGCGCGTGATGTTGAAGAATTTTTTTTTGTTTGTCATGTTAAAATAGAGCGCACTACCTTTCTCCTCAGTTTTATAAATTTTTAAAAGTAATGCTATCAAATTGGTTATCTCGATCAAATTGGTTATTTAGACAATTCTTTTTTTAATAGTAAAAATAATTATAATCTTTCGAAAGTCATTGATAATATCTAATCTTAGAAATATAATTTTCTTTAATTAACTTGATATTTACTATTTTTTTTTTTTNCTGAGTTTATACTGATGCATATACAGAGTGAATTTTTTATCATAACCCACTCAATTATTTACATAATAATAATAATTTAAACACTTTTAGCTTGGATGCGAATTTGAGAAGGTATTAATTTTACTATTATATGTTTTTTTATTTTTTGTGTCTATTATCATTTAATCTCAGGTCTCATTGGTAAAAATTGGTAAATTTTATAATACATAAATAAAAATTTTAATAGTCAAAAAATTAAATAAAATTCATATAATCATACATCATCATTTTTTCAGATATCAATACATTCAAGATTTAAGTAAAGAAATTCTAGCTAAATGGCAAATAATTAGTGATGACCATAAAAATTTTAATGATAAAATGGAAGAAATTAAGTCATGGGTAGGTCCTTTAGAAGATAAACCTGAGAATATAATGAATGATGAAGATTTGAATGATAATAAAAAGCTATTTACGCTACAAAACTTAAATGATACAACTAAAAATTTATTACCAAAAATTTCATTGTTATGTTCATTGGGTGAAAACTTATATCCAGATACTTCTGCTCCAGGACGTGACCTTATTCGCAATCAATTAAGTGATATTCAAAATAGGTATTATAGTAAGAGTATGTATAATAAAATTTTAAATTAAAATGATTTTCTTTTACATAGATGGGATATTTTGAATGAGAAAATACAAATATCTTTGAAAAATCTTGAAGCACAATCACAACAATGGAACAGCTATCAAGAATCAATTTTACGAGTCAATAATTGGATAGATAACTTTGAAAGAACCATTGCATCAAGTCAGAATAATGTTGGGATATCCCCTAATGAAATCAAAACAAAATTATTAAAACAAAAAGTAACTTTTTTAACACGCTTATATTAGTTTCACGTGTATGTTGTTTGTTGTTTGTTTGTCGTTTGTAAGTTTGTAACTCCACGCGGCACGTGTTATTATGTCGCGTATCCCGTCGTGTATGACCTTGAGACTATACTGTTGTAATGCATTCGCCCNTATATTGACAGTATGATCAATGCCAATTTTTGAGGTTTTTGAACTTAAGCTTTTCTTATCCAGTCCTAAGTATAATTGTTACACTAAGTTTCATCGAAATTCGTTATTCAATCATTTAACTAATTAAAAAGAAAAAGATACATTGATTTTAAAATTATAATATGACGATTGATTCTCATATTGCATCGATACATTAATAATTAATTTGATTTTGAAATATTAATTCGATAAAAAAAAATATATATTCATTTTTTATACATTTAAATTTAGTAATAATATTTATTTAGGTATCGATGCAAGAAATAAATTCGCAGGGTCGCATAATTGATTCTATAGCAGAAAAAAGCAAGAATTTAAAAAAACCTCATCATGAGACTGTTTTAGAAAATTCCATCAAAGAAAGATATTGTTCATTAAAACATAAAATGAGTGAATTAATATTACAAAATGAAAATTACTTGGAATCTTATCAGCAGTATGAAGATTTATTAAAATCTTATCAAGATAGTCAAAAAAAACTGTGGGATCAATTGTCTATTAATACAGGTACAGTATTAATATACAGTATTTTTTTTTTAATTGTTCCTTTAATATACAGAGTTTTATTTTATCATATATATAACTATTCTTTCAGATTATTCTGGAAATAAACAAATTTTAGAAAAACGCCTGAAAAATGTTAATAATATAAAAGATGCATTTGATAATAATAAATTAATATTAAAATCAATGCTAAATTTAATTGATAGTTCAAAACAAAATATTCCAGTGAAAGTCTTAGAAAATATTACAAGGGATCATAATAATTTTCAGTAAAATAAACTGTCTCATTATTTAATTATTAAATCTATATTTCTTTATAAAATTGTCTATTTTCTTTAAAGGTTTGAACAAGAAAAATTTCAATCCGCCTTAAATAATTTATTTGACAACATACAAAATAGAATCGATCAATGGATAGAATTTGAAAATTTAATTGAACAATTAGCTTCATGGCATAATGATACTGAGAAAAAATTACATAATTATTCAGAAAAAGCTTCGATTGAAGAAAAATCTCAACAATATAACAAATTTCAGGTTATAAATGTATTTTATTCTATTTTTCTTAACAAGTACAAAATATTTTTGATAAATCGATTTTTTTAAAAGTATTATGTATTTTATTTGTTTTTACTTCAATATTAGTAGTAAACAAATTAAAAAAAATAAATCTTGATAAATGTGCTTTCTAATAATGTTTAAGCAATGCTTTTAAAAATATGAATTACGCGTTGAGAAGGTTGGATAAGTTAAGTGAAAAAAAACAACTCTTTTTATTGCCTGAATTAATAAATTAATAAAAAAAAAATATTGAAGAGTAATTTTTTTGCAAAAAATAATTTATGAAAAATGATCAATAATTAAAAAGAAAAGGTTTATTTGATTTATATATTTTATTGGAATTTATGCCTCCAAAAAATTACTTGTTAGATTTTCAGTAAGAATATACTAAAAAAAAATATATGTTAGGTTTATGCGAACAGTTAAATATATTTTTTTAAAAGCTACAACAATATATAAAATGAAATATTATTATAAAAATAGCTTGTTAATGTTTATTTTTGTTATATCCTCTGCTTGATTGGCGTCGTTTTAAACTATGACGAAATCTCTAATTAATATAATTTATAATTTTTCGACGTTTTAGCTCCGATGAGAAGCTGAGAAGGTATTAATTTTACCATGATGTATTTATTATTTTTTTTTTTGTCTGTCGCCATTTTTTCTCAGCTCTCGCTGGACCGATTTATTTTAACAATACGTCAAAAGAACCCAAATCATATCTAGTTGAAGACATTGCACTTAAAAAAAATTCCCTCGTTTTCTGTAAATGAGTAAAATTTCCCAAAAATTACGATTTTTAAAACCGGTTAATATCGACATTTTTTAAACTTTTTTTTCTTAAACTTCCATAACTTATTGAAGAAATGAACGAATCAAAATTTTTTTTAATTTAAGTTTTAGGTATTTTCCTTTTATTTGGTATACATTTTTCGTAAATTCAATATCTGCCCTTATCTGCCCTTAGGGAGATATTCAAAATAACAACTTATGCACAAAAATTTATCTTTTTCAACTTAAGTGTTGAAAATGTTCCGGAAATACTCCGAGCTTCAATCATGAAATAAAGTTTATAATATGTACTATAAGTTCGAAAAAATTTGTCCTGGCAACTTATTTTTTATGTGCAAATGGCTGTCGTGGTTAAAAAACATGCTATTTTTGTTTTCAAACTTTATTTTTTTGGTCTATTTCAAAATTTTAAAGATTTACCATAGTAATAAGTCCACCAATTTTCTAAAATTTACATGAATCTAACTTACATTAAATATAAATTTAAACTTATTTTCATTACTTTTTCTCCTCAAAGTTAAGAATAATAGCTGCTTTGAATTTTTTGAACTAGTTTAAATTGCCATTTTTAGCTATAATTTGGTGTAATGCATGGTGGCTGCGTCAAATATAATATAGTCACACATGCTCGAAGTTCGAGGTTCTAAACCATTGAAAGAACTCTTTTGTATATTTTTCTTAATTTTTTTTGAGATATAAATAAAATTCAAAGTTCGTTTAATTTTTAACTCATTTTGATTATATAACTTTAATAAATAGCAAAGGACCTATCACTTTAATCTCCCATCATGAAAAGAAATTTCTTATTCATATTAAAATTATTTTACTATGTTTTTTTTTTGTGTCTGTCATTTATTTTTCTCAGCTCTCACTTCACTAATTTTTTTAAACATAACGTCATATGATCACAAATTTCAAGTTAAAGATTTAACCCTCCTTATTATTTAAATAATTCACCAATTTCTTAAAATTAAACACTATCTATAGATTTGTATCGAATCGTTTATTATGATGGTGATTTTAATCACTGTCAGATTAAATCTATACTGGACCCAACTATGCAACGTCCCCACTATCCCGCAACCCCACTGTGCTGAGTTTTTTTTATTTTTTAAACTTCTTTATAAAAAGGGTTGCTTCATTTCTCTGCTACCTGGGTTATTAATACCACGGCCCTACTGTGTTACCGTTTTATATACTCATTCAGTAGAAGTTAATTAATTATATAGATATTTACAAAATTAAAATTTTTTCAAAAATGTGTTAATTATAAATGTATAAATTTCCATGGAGTAAAAGAACATTTTTTATTTGTGCCTTTTTTATATACAGGATTTAGAAAAGGAAATTAGGGGAAAAGCAAATTCTGTAAACGATTTGATTTCATATGCAGATCACTTACATCAAGTAAAATAAAAATAAAAATGTATTATTTGAGTATTACTTATTTATTAATTATTACTAGACCTTAAAAGAGGATATCCAAAAGAAAGATTTGGATCGCAATGATCAAGTAAAACAAATTAAAGAACATCAATCAGTCGGCGAAGTAGGATTATCTACAAGAGTGAAGCAGATATCGTCACGATATCAGTCAATGCAATCAACAATTAAGGTTACTTAATAATAATAATAAAAACCTTCTATTAACTAGTTAATATGTTTGTTTAAGTTGTATAATTTCTATTAATTATAATTTTTAGGATATTTTAAATAATTGTAAAGATTCAATTATTGTTCATCAGAATTACATTGATAAATACAATGAATGTTTTATTCAACTATCAAATACTAAGGAGCAATTTGCTATGGCTTGTCAGCCTATATCATTATCACAAAATATACAGCAGTATTTAGTGAAAAAATATGGAGCATTAAATGATCTCTTAAATTCTAAATCAAATATTACTTTTTTGTTAAATAGCTGCGTAGAACTTAGTGATAAATTATATTTAAGCACATGTCCATCTGGAAAAGAAGCAATTAAATCCCAATTGGATAAGCTTCAAAATTCAATTGATACTTTATTCGATGATATAATGAGTCTAAACAGAGAAGTAAAAAATGAATTAAATAAATGGAGTGAGTTTGAAGAAATGAATAGTGAATTAAAGCAGTGGTTTAGTGAAATTAAGAGAATTATTAACAAAAATATGGAACTAAAATCTACGTTAGATGAGAAAAAAACGCAACTCCAAATGTACAGAGATATACTGCAAACTACATTAAAACGAGAAACTGATGTTAAGAAACTTGTAAATAATATAAAACAATTACAAATACATGACAATAATGATACTTTCCTAGATTCTATTAGTAATCAATATGATGAAATACTTAATAAAATTCAGGAATTTGTTAATAAGTACGAAGCTATAGTAAAAGATCACGAACAATATACAACTTCGGTAATGGAAATGCAAGAATGGCTTGATGCAACTCATAATACATTATTATTGTGGAGTGATACCAACTTAGAAAAAATTTCACTTTTGGGCAATCTTGATCGTATAAAAGTAATAAAAAAATTAATAAATATTTGCTTTCGTGAATAATAATTCGAAATTATTTAATTATTCCAGAATTTATTAGTAAGTTTAACTGGAGAAGAAAATAAAATTCATGCTATAAAGAAATTGGCAGAAAAAGTTATTCCTGGTACAAGCGAACAGGGTCAGGTAAATATAAGATCACAAATTGATTCATCACAACAAGACTGGGAAGGTCTTATATCATACGTAAAGTAAGTTAAGAAGATTTATTTATTAACTTAATTATCTGTAAATAAAATTTAGTAAAATATTTTTCAATTATGACATTTAAATTATAAAAACTAATAACTTGAAATCAAATAGGACCATAAAAAAAAAAAAATCTATATTATATAATAGTTAAATGTATTCTATGTAGAATTTCGCTTCTGATATCAAATTTTGTTTAAGATTTGTAAGGGTCTGTGGGAATAACGTCCTATATAGCAATTCGTATTTTGTTTGGTTGTATACATATAATTAGATAACTTTATAGCATGTTATTACACAAAAAAATAAAATCCAATAAAATGTTACAATTTTTTTTTTTTTTTGTAGAGTAACACGATTTATATCAAGTTATATTTGTAGAATAAGAAAAAAAATTATATGAATTGTTACATAGGACATCATTACCTTTCAATTACACACTTAAAAACTCATAAAAAATATTTAAAACAATTTTAGCTTTCACGCGAAAATGAGATGGTATTAATTTTACTATGATTATTTATTTATTTATTATGTCTGTTAGCATTTTTTCTCAGCTCTCATCCAACTGATTTCTTTTAACGATACGTCACAAATCGTATCTAGTCGAACCCCGTAAATGGGGTGAATCTCCAAATAAATTACAAATTTATAAAACATTAATTTTTGACATATTTTCAATTTTTTTTACTTAAAATTGTTATAACTTTTTTAAAAATGACAAAATTGATATAATTTCTTTTATATAGATACATGAGGTACTTACCTATCATTTAATATAATTTTTTTATAAATCTGACCTAATAAACCCTTTACCTACCCACAGGGGGATTCAAAATTACAACTTTTTCAACTTAATTTTTTAAAGTGTTCCGGAAATTTTGACATTTTTATATATATCTTAAATTAAAGATTATTTAATATACTTTAATATTAAAAAGAAAATTTTCAGACTTTATTTTTTCTTCATGGTGAAAATAGACATCAAAGTTAATAAAAAAAAATACGATTTTTGTAAAAAAATTCTTTTTTATATTTTAACTTCATTTATATATTGAAAAATGTATGTAAGTTTAAATTAAATAACTTAAGTGGATACTTGGAGTCGTCATTAATCTAAGAATATTCAGATGAAATTATATACATTTTTTCTCTAATATATTAAAGATTATTATTATTATATTAGAGATTTATTCTCTAATATATTGTACTATAATCAATAAAAAAATTTGATTTCTGCCAGCTCTATAAAATCTATCTATATTATGTATTAAACATATATAAAATTATTAATAAATAAATTGATTTTATTATTTAAGAACTTCAATTGAAGCTTTAGAAGAAAAATTAAATAATTGGAACGAGTTTGATACTTTAAAAGATTTGTTTTTAACATGGTTGCGTGATGCAGACTATAAAATTCATGCTATCGATTTAAAAACATCATTACAAGAAAAAAAAAATCAACTTGATGAACTCAAGGTAAAAATCTTTAGTATTATAAACTAAATATTATATTAATTTGATTTATGGTTCATTTATGAATTACCTAATAAATCTAAAAAAATTTGAGAGTTTAAATATTTTTGGGTTTATCACTTATCTTTTATAACGGTGTCCACTTTATTTTTTCAAATGGCAACATACACAATTGACTAGTTTATTTATTAGATAATGACCTCATTAAGAAAATAACTGATGGATAACAAATTTTGGATATTATTAATATTTTAAAGTGTTATATGAAGGTGAAACGCGGGTGTAGTTATTTTTATCACTAGTCATTTCCCTCCGTACTTTTCCTCCTACTTAGGTATAAATATACTGTATGATTGACAAATTGAGAAAAATATGTAACTAAAAGATACTAATCAAAATTCTCAATATATATAATATTTTTTGATTAATTTAGTAGTTCATGATAAATGAAACAGTCTATAAATTGTTCAAGATTATAATTTTAATTAAACATGTATGTCAAACACATTATAAAATAAGAGAAGTTTGATAAACTGATAAAAGCAATAGTAAATTTCCATGACTTAAAATTAATTTTGTGATATATTTTCTAAATCTGGTTCGTCAGTAAAATTAAATAGTTATTATAATTATTAACTTAATATGATAATTTTATTATAACCTTAATTATTTATCGTGTCTAGTGTACTAATAAAAACGTATAAACTAAATTTTATACTAACTACCTTGTTGACGGGGTAAATTAACTTGATAATTAATATATCTAAAATTATGGCTGAAATGTATAATTCCTAACTTAAACATTTTCTCACTAAATTGAATATCTTAAAAATGAATCAGATTATATAATATTAATTTAGTTTTATTTGAAATTATTAAAAGACCTTTATTTTAAAGATTAGGTTAAATCATGCCTAATCGCATGATTACCGTCTGTAAACTCACCCCAACTGTTTTTTTTTGTTTTATTAAAATTTTTCAAAAATTATCTATTTTTATGATCATGAAGATGATAAAAGTTACATTTCTTGAATTTTATATCAGATATAAAAAATTTAATTACTTTTTATTAATTTAAATTTTAATAAATTAATTTATTAAAATTAATAAATTTAAATTAAATTTTATATATTAGATTTTCCTAAAATATTTTGGAACTTACTTTTTTAATTAAAAATTATGTTTTTTAATTGGATAAATAATTAATATTTTATCTCAAAAATGGGAAACTATATAAAAACATCGTAAATAAAATAATGTCAACAGATTTTTTATAATCAACTTCATTGAAAAATATTAATTGCTTTAAATTATTTATTACTTTAAAAATTGTGATTGAACCGTGTGAGCTTGTTTTAGTCTCCCCTACTAAATATATTTACATATTTACTGTTCAATAAATCATTTAAGTTTTTTTTTTAAATAGTTGAGAACCATACATCCTTTTTTTCTATTAATTCGATCAAACAAATTACTTTTGTAAACTATTAAAAAAATATATAAAATGAAATATCATTATTTTGTGCAAAACTAACTTTGCATTTTTTCTCCTGGGACGTTATCGTTAATTTTTAAGCACCATTATCTTTATTTTATCATTATGTACAACAAATAAAAAAAAATCTTTTAAGACAAACATTTGACACGATATTTATACTTTCAATTATAGGATCTTCAGGGAATTCTTCGTACAAAAGAATTTGAAATTGATGCTATTACAGAAAAATCTCAAAACTTATATACTTTATGTATGTCGAATAAAAACTCGCAAATTAGTGAAATAGTGCAGAAATACCATAATCTTTCAATGAAAATCAAAGTAAGTATTTTAATTAATAATATACTTTTTATTACTTATAAATACAACTTTTTAGGAATTAATTGAAAAATGGCAGCAATACGTTGATATTCATTTAGAGTTTGAGAGTAATTTAAATGAAGCCATTATTTGGCTTGAAAATACTGATGATAAACTTACTATCTGTGGTGATTTCAAATCTACAAATAAATCCGATTTAGAAGAAAAATTGATAAATATTCAAGTATTTTTTATTTGTTTCTAATCAATAATATTATAAATTATAGTAAGATAAATAATAAAAAATTATATTTGTAGTGTATTTCTATAAAAGGGTATCTTTCAATATTATGTTATAAATATATAACATAATATAATATAAATAATGATTCATTTGTATAAATTCCAATGTGATAATCTTTCATGCTAAAAATGTATTCAACCCTCTTTATTTTTTTTTTAATTCAAATTTTTAGGAAGTGTTGTTGTACAAAGAAAACGGTTTTAACATGATTCAAAATTGTACTAAAAAAGGACAAATAGTATTAGCAAGCACCACACCTGATGGTCATAAAGCAATCAATGACTCACTTATATCTTTGCAAGAACATTGGAGTGCATTAGCTTCTAAAATGTTAGAAACTAAGGTAAAAAAAAACAATAATAACACTCTGCGCTTTACCTAATAAAACATTATTATTTTTAATTTATTTGTATTTATAAATATATTAAAATATATTCAACTTAGGCTAACATTGATGAATCTATTAAAAAATGGTCAGACTTTTCGGAAAATGTCAAACAAGTTGGAAAAACTATTGACAAATTTGAAGAAACTTTATCTGAATTAACAAAATTTGAAACATCGTTATCTGAGAAACGAAGTCAATTAGAAAAAATAAAAGTAAGTGATTTATAAAATTATTTTGTTTTATAAATAAATAACGGACAATTTTATAACTGAGAACTAATAATTAATGATATCGAAAGAACAATATTTTGGATAATATTAAAATAGCATATTTTAGTTTTTAAATTTTTGATGACAAAGAACTGATGAAGTTTTATGTAAATATAACACATAATTTTAAATTTCAATCAGAACATAACTTTAGTCATATAGATTTTTATGGTAGCGTTCATTTCACTTATAATAGAAATATTATTTTAAATCTGTATATTTTTATTCGTTGATTTTAAAGTTATTATTTATTTTAAATATTATGATATTAACATATTTGTATTACTTCAGAATTTAGACGAAAAAATAAAAAGTGAAAGTATCGAAATGGAGCTACTAAAATCAAAAGCCGAAGAAATACTTAAAAATGGTTATCAGAGTAGTACGATATTTGACACTCGAGAATTATTCAAAAAGTTTGATAATATTTCAGACAAAATAAAAGTAAATAAATATTTTCAATTTTATTTCTTATTTATTTATATTAATATTTTTTATTGTAAATTATGAAAAAACAATAGGTTTTGAAAATATTAAAAGGTCAAATTATATGTTAGTTTATTAATTATACTTTTAGACTTTACTATCTGAGCGAGAGCAACAATTTAAAGATCATAAATCTTACAAAGAGGCTTTTGATGAACTATCAAATTTTTTAAATAGATCTAAAGAAAAAATACCTATTTTAAATGAACGTCCTTTAAATGATAAATTAGCAATCGAGCAAAGTATTACTCCTCTCGATTCACTTCTAAATAAAAAAGCTCAAGGTGAATTATTACTGGATAATTTGGTCACGATTGGCAATGTTATTAAGACTAACACGTCTGATAGTGGAAACGTTATTATTAGTGAAGAGATATCTATGATATCGGATGAACTAACGCGGTTCTTTGACGGTATTTGAATTTGTATTTTTTTAACAGTGCTATTGTTAACCAATGTTTAAACATCATATAAATATTTAAGATGTAACAGCTCAAAAAGAAACATTGCAAGCTATACACTCACATTGGAGAGAATATAAAGATGAATATGAAAAACTATCTGACTGGTTGCAACAAAATGATATAACTATGAAGTCATTAAAAAATACATTACTTGCGACGCTGGATGAAAAAAAAAATCAAGTGAAACAAATTGAGGTGAAATTATTTTGGGTTTTTAATTAGCTTTTAAATAATTATTTATAATTTACCTAAATCATATATGTAGGATGTACTTGATGATTTAAAAAATGGAAAATCAAATATTAATAAATTTAATAATGATTCTACACTGTTATTGACATCACATTTGGGTCCTTACATTAGCAATCAACTGAGGCAACTTNACATTTGGGTCCTTACATTAGCAATCAACTGAGGCAACTTAATTCTCGTTATGAAGTAAAAATTTACTATAAAATTATTAATTAATTTTTTATATTATCATAAGTATAATATTTATATATTTTTTAAGATCCAAGTAAATTTAGCCAATGATGTTAAAAAAAAAATTGAAAGTAATTTAGAGCATCACATGAAGTATGAAGAATTATTAGAAAAAGCAAAAAGTTGGATAAATAACGCTAAAGAAGGCATTCGGCATGGAAATGAGTCTGTCAACAACTTGAGTAAAGAAATTTTACAAGCGCGTTTAAATAAAATTTTGGTAAATATTTATGTTTTTTTTTTTACGTTGTTAATTTATTATATTTATACATTTTTAGGAGATTTTAAAAACACAAGAAGAAGGTCAGTTAATTATTCATTCGACTATTAACTGCGGTGAAAAAGCTCTTAGAAGCACTCGATCAGATGGAAAAGATATAATAAACAATCAATTGAAAGAAATTCAATCAGACTGGGAACGGCTCATTAAAAAGATTTCAAATTCCAAAGTTCACATTGAAACAAGTTTATTGCAGTGGGCTGATTATAACTCATCATACTCACACTTGCAACAGTGGATATCAGATCGGGAGGCTAAACTCGAGAATGTATGTGAACATAAGGTAAATTAATAAAATTAATCTCATTATATAATTATATTTTATTAAATTTTAAATAGGTTTCAAATGTAAAAAAAAGTCAAGTGGGCGTTGGAACGTTAAGTATAGGGGAACGAAAGGCAGCATTAAGAAAAACGAACAGTATAATGCAAGATATAGTATCATTCGAACCCATGATACATAAAGTTACTCTAAAGGCAGAAGATTTGCAGCAAGCTGTGCCAGCTAATGAAATAACTAACAAATATCAAACATTAAGTATTAAAGCTAAAGACTTGTATGAGAAACAAAAAGAAGCTGTAAGATTACACCAAGATTTTATTGACGCTGGTAATGATTTCGCTACTTGGTTGAGAAACGCTAAAGAAAAAGCTAGAAAAATATCTGATCCTACAGGAGACAAAGAAACCTTAAACAAAAAATCTGTTCAATTAAAAGTGAGTTATTATGCCTTATATATATATTTTCAAGATTTTTATTTTATAACTTTGTATATTATAAAAATTATTTTATTTTTTTTTAGGTATTAATTAGTGAATTGACAGAAGGACAGACAAAATTAGAAATAGCACTTGAAAAAGCAGAAAAAGCTTGCTTAAATGCTGATGGTGATGAAAAAGAAATAATTGAACAAGAAGTAGCTATGCTACAAGAAGAATATGACGTATACACAGAATCATTACAAAACACGAAATCATTATTAGAAGTATATTATTAGAAGTATTAAATTTTGTTAATATATTGCTAATTGTTTCTTAGGATGGCATATGCAAGTTAAATGAATTCGATGATTATTCAAATACTGCTATAGAATGGTTAAATAAAACAGAAAAATTAGTACAATCGTATAATAAATTACAACCTAGTCTCGAGAAGAAAAAACAGGCTTTAGAAGAATTTCAGAATCATCTTCAAACATTATTTGATTGGCAAAGTGAATTGGATAATTTGAATGGAAAAGCACAAGTAATAAAACAAATCATATGTTTAAATAATATGTTCTTTACAGTTATAAGAAATTTATTTAGATATAAAAAAAACTTTAAATTTAAAAATTGTATACTTTCTAGATTCTCTTAGGGACTTGTTCAGATACTCGACTTTCTAACTCAATTACTCAAATGACCACTAAATATGATACATTGATTTCACTCGCTAAAGAAGTTATGCGTCAACTTGAACAGCACTATCAAGAACATCAACAACAAAACTCTTTATATCAAGAAAGCCTTGATTGGATTGAAAGAATACGAGATAAAGTATGGAACTATTGGATATATAGTTACTGTTGGACTTTATTTCTTTGTAAAGTCCGTTTATTCGTAAGATGGTTTCGACCCATCCTTTTTTTATTTTTTCAATAGGATTTGTACTAATTAATTAAAATTCTGTTTTACTTCAGAATTTTTTATTTTATAAAAACTATTATTTATGGAAACTCTACATTTTTTATTATTTTATATATACATATGTAACATCCTCTTTTTAAAACTATTGCTTATATACAAGAAAAGATGGTAAAACCTAAGCACTTAAATCAAAATTACTTATTAGTTAATAAAAAATTACAACCTATAAAAAGTTACTTTTCAAAATAGTCATGACAATTCAGAATTCACTTTCTTCATTGAGATAATTTTAAATAAAAATAATTTTTTCTTAACCCTTTAAATTCAGTTACATTATTGCATAAAATAATCAAAAAATAAACAAAGGGTAATGTCTTAAAATATAATTAAAAAAAGTTGATTTTAATATTTATAGATACATTAGAAATTAATCAATATGCAATTTAGAATTTTTTCTACATGCGTTTGATTTTTATCATATCAAAAAAATACAAATTAGGAATTCAATACTAGTAAAGAACAGATTACTTCAAAAATTTGTTTATGTTGAACATTATTAAAATTTTAAAATTTATGTAATATATTAATAAATAGATCACATATATAATATTTTTTATTTAAGTGTTATCAATCTAATCTTTAACAGAAATATTAAAATATATACAAGCTAATTTTTTTATTGCTAGCTGCTTGATTTATATCATAATAATAATATTGTTGGCTTATAATAATATTGTTGTTAGTTACATATATATTTTCATTTATCTGTTAAAAATATTTTTTATCATAATCCCTTATATCTTATAGGGGTTTCAACTTTATTTTTTATATGATACATAGGTATTTAATTGACTTATAAAATAGAATATGATTGGCCGATAACANTTGACTTATAAAATAGAATATGATTGGCCGATAACAACTTTGAACCAGTATTTTAGATGTTAATAACAATTTAAAGTAATGATGAGGAGTACATACTGTTTTTTTTTCAAACTAGACATATCCCTGTCGTACTCTAATTAGACATGAAAATGTCAATAACTTTCGAAATACTGGTCCAGTAGTTTTTATGGACCAGTTATTTTCTTAACTATATCATTATATATTATCTATAAACTAGTTAAATGTGTACGTGTATGCTATTTGAAAATATAAAGTTGATACTCTTATAAGATATAAGAGATGAGCATAAAAAATATTTCATGACAGATAAATAGAAATAAATATGTAAATTACAAGAGCCAAAAAATTATTATTAAAGAGAAATTAAGTGAGGCTAGTGTTAAAAAAAATCCCTATCTATATAGAGTGTTAAAAAAATAAGGATATAAGTCAATTGTTACTAACAATGAAAATAATTCTTTTTGAAACCCGTTTTGTTACTTAATGAACACCTATAGATATGTATATATATATTGTATTAATAGTTGAATGAATGTGAAACTACGCCTAATACTCTGAACGAAGCAAAAAACAAACTACAGATTTTAAAAATTATAAGACAAACACTTGAACAAGGTCAAAATAAATTACGATATACTATGGAATTAAAAGAAAAAGTAGTTCTAAGTACCGAAACACAAGGTGCCTTAAAAATTGAAGAAGATACTGAAAATTTGCGACAAGAATTCGAAAAACTCTCTAATAGTATTCAAGTAATTATTATCATTTGTGATATATTATCATAAACTGAATTTTAATGCTATTAAAATTACAGATTTGTAATAGTAATTTAGTATCAAAAGTCTCTCAATTAGAAGAATCGGATAAGTCTATAAGACTACTTAATCAATGTTTAGATGATATAAAATCTAAAATGAGTGGTATAGAATCTGAATCAGCATTTAATGATTTAAGTGAAAAGAAAACTTCGTTGGAAAAAATCAAATCTTTACTCCGTGAACTTCATTCACATTCTGATCTTGTATTTATTTTGTTAAATAATAGAAAATTTTATAAAAAGTTATTAAATATTTTTTATTTTTCACGTATATAGATAAACTCGCTTACTTTAAGATCCAGTGACATTTCATCTCCTCAGTCTGAAATCATTTCTTGCATTACAAAATATAACAGCCTTGTTAATTTAGTAAGTTTTCATAAATTACGATTTTTTTTTTTTTTTTTTAATTATTTTAATTTTAGGCTACTAAGAAAATCTCAGAAATTGAATTACAAGTTTCTGACCATGAAAAATACAGAAATTCGTTATTAAATGTTTACGATTGGTTGCGCAAAACACGTGTTGCTGTTCAAAGCAATGCTGATACTCATGGCGATTGTGAAAATAATATAGAAAAAAATCTTAAATTAAGAGAAATAGAAAATTCTACAGAAGAAGGTGACAAAATGGTAAAGGAAGTTCTTGCAGCTATTGAAATAGTTAAGGTTAACACTGGTCCTGAAGGATGTGACAAACTTAATCAAGACAGAATCCAATTGAATATTGATTGGGATGAGTTAAAACATTTTATTAAAGAAGTACAAATCTCTCTCAAGAAATGCATTAAAGCATGGGAGGATTTTAATATTGTATTTAAAGCTTTGAAAAATTGGGAAATAGAATTAATTGACAAAGTCAACACAGCCAGTTCATTAAATGACACTTACACTCCAATAGATTTAGATACATTTAAATCATNTACACTCCAATAGATTTAGATACATTTAAATCATGGTTGCAAGAAATAATCAATCAAAATATATCTATAGAAGAATTGACTGATAGATGTGAAGTGTTAATGGAGATGAGTGCATGTAATTGGGTTAGAGATGAAACACTTAAAATTCAATCATCATATACCATTTTATTAACTAAAGTTCAAGGGTTTGTGATTTTCATTATTCATTATTCATTGCCTTAGTTCTTCAAAGACATCTCAAATTAAAAATAATCTTATGATATTTGAATAAAAATGTTTGTAAATGTTAGTTAATTCATTTAAGTTTTTTAATCAATTTTTTCATGGGAATCATAAAATATATTATAAACTTCTTAGGATAAGCCAAATTTAACTATCAACTATTTAATAAACAAATAAAGTTATATTAAAAATTACATAGTTAATAATTCAAAAATAATGTGTAACTAAAGATAACAAAAAAAAAAAATATATTTAAATTATATTTGTTCTGTAAGTAATTGAATTGGTTATGATAAAAAAATCACTCTGTAAAGTTTTTTTATAGCAGGCAACTAAAAATCTCATTATGATTGACACTTACAAATACAATTTTTATTAAAGTTTTGCAAAAAAAATGTTGATAATTATTCATTAGTTATTTTTAATATAGGCTTGTATCTAAAGCTGAGAAAAGTTTAACTGATCATACTGAATTCATTGCTGCAAAAGAAAAAGTTGAGGAATGGTTAAATCGTGCACATGGTACTATTCAAGATTGTATAGGGGAAGGAGATTTGGCATGGGTAAAAGATAAACTACAAACAATCAACCTTGTTTCTTCTAGAATTACGGAAGGTATTTTCTTCTCTAATAATGTTAAAAATAAGCTATTATCTTTATATTAGATAATTTTGTAAACATGATATCTTAAATTGAGGCAAAATTTCATCAAAATAATTTAAATTATGATAAAAGACACTATGTTTTGAAATAGCTTTTTAATTGTATATTGTAGGAACTAAATAAACAGGAAATTTTCCTATTTTTTATATAAATATATTTATGTGTTTTCTTATGACATATTTAATTTATATTTAATTAGGTCAATATTTAATGAACGAAATGCAGGAAATTTTTGTTAGAGCATTAAATAACATATTGGATGTAGAGAGAGATAAGATTATGACTACAATGGAAGAGCTAAGAAACAGTTGGAATAGTTTAAATATAGATTTAAATTCAATTATTGCTCATCTAAAATCTCTTCAAACACGCTGGGAAGAAAATAATGAAGCCAAAACATATCTTGAAAAATGGCTGAATTCGACTGAAAAAAAAATTAATGAACAAAAAAATCTTAATGCAGACTTAGGAGAAATGAAAACTTTAGCAGACAAAATCAATCATCTTATCAATGAAATAATTGAAAAAGAATCAAGTTTCGAACATGTTATATCCGAAACTGAAGAATTATCAAAATGGAGTAAATGTGATGGACTAATATCAGATATAAAATATTTGAACTCAAAAAAAAATAATCTTAAAGATAAAGCTTTGCAACGTAAAAAGAGTTTGGAACAAGAAATACTTGAACATTCAGAATATTTACAAGCACTTCAAGAAACGGAAAAATGGCTATTAAAAATATCATTCCAGTTAATGGCCCATAACTCATTATATATCACTAATAGACAACAAACACAAGAACAGTTAGAATACCACCAAGTGTTATTAAATGAAGTTATTCAGTAAGTAACGATTTTATTCTTATAGTGTAGCAATATAATATTAAAATGTTAATAACTTACATTAAGACAATAGAAAAAACTGATTAATCTACATGAATAGTAGTATTATTTAAATAAATCGATCATGTTATAAATCTTTATAACATAATAATATAATCTTATAAATAGTTATAATATTGTTATAATTTATAATAACAAAATAAAATATATAAATGGATTATGAATATATGATGTATGGGTTCTATCAGGGTTGTGCGGTCAGAGGGTTCAGAACAACGAAGACAAGTATAGATAAAAATAATAAAAGCAATTCCTCTTTGCTGAAGGGGTAATAAAATATAGTCTGGTTGGTACCTAATAACATGCACGAGGGCAACGGAACGGCATGCTAATTCACGAATACCTGTAACGTGACTATGTACAAAATCTTACCCGACCCGTCTAGTATAATATTCTACAATATTAATATAATGAATTATCTATTGCTTCGTCGTTCTCTACTTAGACGTTTTAACTCTAAATAATTGGGACAACATAAATTTACTTGTATTTTGTAGCTACAAATTGCTGATGATTCGTCAAATCTTTAGATATCTATGCTTAGGGATATCTAATTCGTATCTTGTCACAAAATAAAATTTAAAACAAATTTTTTTCGTATGAAAATAAAATGTATGCAGCCGACAACAACACGGGATCGTGGCTGGTAATTGTTTTTAATATAGATTCGACAAAAGCGAACTGGAGTCTGAAAGGATTTCAGTGCTTTTTATAGTGTGTGATGGTACCCCTATTCCAGAGATATTGTTGTCAGTACTTTTAGTGGATGTCAATTTATTTTATAGATTAAATATTACATGATTATTACAATATGACAGTATTGTTAACAATGTTTAAATTATTGTATTGAACTGTGTGATCATTATGACAGCTTAATTATTTTATTTATTTATTATTAATATGAAATACACATTGTAGTATTTTTATTGATAATTATCAATTATATTATAATACAATATACGTATATGCCAAGCATTTGGGCATATACGACATTATAATATAATATTATTTGTGTGTTCATCATCATATATTAAAGTATGATTTTATTTTAAATAAGACAGAAAACTTAAATAATAATTTAAAAATGTACACATAACAAACTTTTTTTATTACTCTTAGGTATCAAGATGTATTAAACAATCTAAAATCTAAAGGAACCACTCAAATTCATCGTTATATAATGTCAACTCCATCAATAAAGTCAATAGTAGAACTTCAGTTAAAGAACGTACAAGATAGTTACAATTCGTTGTTTAACACAGCCCATCAAATAAAGTCAAGACTGGAAGAATCCTTGTTAAAATTTAAACAGTATGAAGATATGTTGGAGAGTATTTCGTCAAATTTGGATGGATATGAACCTTTGATAAATAAAACTATTCAAGAAAATTGGACTCTAGCACAGGCTCAAGAACAACATGATGTATATAAGGTATTTAAAAAATAATGCAATATAACTGTATAATAAATCTTAAGTAAATCATTTTATATTATTAGAATCTTCTGGATAAATTACAAGAAGAAAAAATAAAATTAACATTAGCAGTACAAGCATGTGAAGCAGCAGTTGCTAGTATATCCAGGCCTAGTAGTCCTGTTGAATCTTCCAACTCACAGATTCCTGAAAAAGAGATAGAAGTTCGTTTGCGGCTAGAAGATTCACTTGATCAAGTATGCAATTAACTACAATATTAATTCATACAGATTGGTTCAATATAATTGATAGCTATTATACATTTTTTGTCAAATATTCATTTCAAACTGGTTCTTTTTTTTAACAATTGCAGTTGTCGGACTATTTAAAATAATATTTATTATTATTTGTTTCTTATTAGGAAAAAATAAAATAATTATTTTTGGTTTTTTCGAAATTTCAAATAATCAGATTTTAGTGTTTCTATTACAAAAAATGTTGGTTTATAGATCAAAATGATAGGACAAGTACAAATGAGTTACATTTTAATACTGTGAGTGAGTAAAAAATGCAAGAAAGTACAGTCCATGACACTGCTAAAATTTATCGTTAACATCTTACATTAATTACTTTTTACACTCAAAAAAACTATAACTATATAATATAGAAAAAAAATATTCGGAAATGATCTTGTAATATTTATAGGTTCAAAATTTTATAAGTGAATTATCTGACTTGATATCAATATTACAAAGTAAACTTAATCAACAAACAATTTTAAAAGAATGGATTGAGGGACAAATTATTACTGTCCAATCGATTGAAGAAAAACCGACTAAACTAAGTACCGAATCAGCTGTACAAGATATATCAAATCTCAACGATTTACTTCAAGATGTTAATTCCAAAAAAATGGAAATAGAGGAAATAATAACAGATAGTTCTTCTGAAGAAATATTAATGAATTTATCTATATTATCAGAAAGTGTAAGAAAATATATAGTTGTTTACTATTATAATAATTATTTAGAAAACATTTTATTTACAAATATTTATTCATTAACCTTATCATTTATGAAATTTCTTTTTAGATTACTAGAAATTTAAGTAAAAAAAAGTCTGATCAAAATTTGTTAAATGACTTTAAAAAAACCGAAGCTGATTTACAAAATTGGCTTGATAATTTATCAAATAATCTTGATTCCTTAGAAAAGGGAAGCGGTAACACATGCGAACAGAAATTAATGCTGTTTGATGTCATCAAAAAAGATTATATGACAAATGGAAATGATTTAGTAGAAAATTTTAAAATCAATAGCTGTAAAGTAAAAGATATTGTAAGCAATTTAGATGCCCAACTTCTTGATGATCAGGTAATAATTATATGTGTATGGCCAATTGTTTTGCAATCTGTGAATGTGTTTTTATTTTTATTTTATTATAAACATGCATGTATATTTACCTTGTAAAACTATATCAATTATTATGAATAAATAAATAATTATTTATAATTTAATTAAAGAAATGTATATTTTAATTTTTTTGTTAAAATAGTTTTACTGTCAATATTTTTATAACAAATTGTATTAATATTCATAAATATTAACATGAATTTTTTTTAATAACTTTTATAAAAGAGACAGTATATTTATTAAAGTTCGCTCAAAGTTATAACTAATTGAAATTAAATTATATATTAACTTATATGTGCAATTTTGCTAAGATAATGATTTCAGTCATTTTAAATTAGTATAATAAAATTTATTAACATGCAACAACTCTTACTTTATGATTCTCCCTTCTCTATTTCTAAAGGCTAAGGCCTTGTCATAGCTTTATATCCTGGCAAATTAAGTTCAGTGGTTTCCCGTTGCCTTCTGCACTGGGAACATAGCGCTTTTTCGCTACCGTAGAAGCGCACGCATGGTCACCCATCCGTTCACCTGCGGAGGTATAGGCGCGGCTTAACACTAGAGTTTTGTCAACTATTAGTGTGACCACCGCGTTACACCACGCCCACTTTATGATTAGAGAAATTATTTTTTAATAGTGGTGGATTGAACAACCGTGAATTTATGTGAAATTACATTTTTAGGTTAAATAAATTGTATAAATAATTATAAAAGTATTTTCAAACTTAGGTAAAATCTGCAGAGCGACGATACAGAGATTTTGGTATAAGAATGGAGAGAAAATACGAAGTCTTAAAAAATACCAAAGAAAATTTAGCATTTGTAGAATCCAAACTTAAAGAAGTGGATAATTGGATTGATAAACAGTTAAATTATTTAAACGTATATAAATATGTCAGCTATGATACGGAAAATATAGAAAAAATATTATCGTACTTGAAGAAAATTAACAAAGACATAGAAACACATAAAATATTTTTGACAGACTCTTTAGCAGTAAAACTCAATACTATTGAGTTAGAAACTGAACCAATGGAATTTAGTAGCTTTGAAGAAAATATATACAAACCTATATATACAAAGTTGGAAAAATTAATAGCTAGTAAGAAAATATGAATACTGAAATCTATGCTTATTTATTATCTTATACCATTGTAAAATTTTATTATCTATAATGCTTAAATCTTAAACCTTAAGTTCGATTTTTTGAGCTAAAAATTTCTTTTAGTTTTAATAATATAAACTGTACCCAAGTATAAATTTTTGTTAAGTACTATTATTGGCAACAGGTTAAGTATTGCACCAGTACTGGCAACTGACCATTGGCTAACCCGTACTAACATTGTATTGGGTAGCGCTTGTTTAAGTACTGATTCAGTATTGGCAGTCAGTACTTATTTACCATTGTTGGCAGAGTACTGACGTAATACTGGTCATACAAAATTTTCAATACTAATCTAGCAGTATGAAAAAAACGTTATTATTACAGACATATTTCAGTATTGAACTAATACTGATGGACACTACTGTGCCAGAACTGCCAGTACTGCTCCTGTTATTAATTTTTAACTGGGTATTATTTTATTTCAAATAGTCTGGCTCCTGTACGCTAAAGATAATATAATTGTGTGATTAACAGTGTAGATACTTATTGATTATTTCAATTTATTAAATTTTATATTATTAGGAATAAACGAAGAAACTAGCAAAGTTAAAAATGTTTTTGAAACAAGTGTAAAATACGACAAATTACTTAATGAATGCCTTTTATGGTTAAAAAAATGTGAAAAAGACCTCAGCCCTGACAAACATTCGCCTGAACCTTTAGAATTATCAGATGCTCTAATATATTTTGAACATAAAATGGTTTGATTCAATTACAGTTTTAAATTGTATATAGTTTGTATAAATTTACAAAATTTTATTTTACTAGGAAATAAAAAATAATATTCAACATTTCAAAAATGGTGAACTTACAGATTTGGAGAAAATTAGTCAATTACTTATTTCTATAAGCAATAATGACGATATTTTAGTTATTAATTCTGACATGAATGGTAAATATATTTAATAATTTAGTTTTTCTATAGTTAATCTTTAATTAATATAAAATTAATTTAAACTATAGGTGTTAATGAAAAAGTCAAAATAATTGACAACATGTTTGTAATGGCTGAAGAAAACGCAATAGCAATTGTAGATAGTCGAAGAAAAATTGAAAACATTTTTAAGGAATGTCAACAATGGTTTACTGAAACAGAAGTTTTAATTTCAGATGATGTTCGTATCTCCAGTTTAAAAGCTATAGAAGATCAGCTCCAGAAAGTAATGATTAAGAATTATCTTAGAGTAAAAAATTAAAGAATTAATATGAATTATTACAATTACAACTTATAAAATAATAATGTTTTTTAAACACAAAAAATTATACGTTTATTTATAACAAAATTTGATTTTTTTTCTAGTATAATGACCTTTGTAGACGCAGCTCTGATATTGACAATATAATCGAATCACTTAAATTAAACAGTCAAGAAATACTTTTATCAGAATCGGACGCCTTAAAGTTTAGTGATCAGATTTTACATTTGAAAAATCGTCAAAAAAAATTAAAATCTACTATTGACGAAAGAATTAAATTGCTTGAAGAAGAAAAGAAAAAAATAAAAAATATAGCCGAAGTAATAGAAAAGAGTAAAGCATCAATTTTAAAAGTCGAATTAAATTTACAAGAATTAAACCATCCTGTTGGAAGTACAGTGCAAGACGTACAAAATATGATAATTTCGTATGAAGTAAGCAATAAATATAAATATTATTTTGTGAAAAACTATTAGCTTTTTTTTACGTCAACATTTTTAAGAGTTTTGCACACTTCTATACTTAATCAAAAAAGGGATGTATTGCAATAATATTAACACGTTTTAGTCACTTCAAACCTAAGTTTGGTTTTTACCACTTTTTCCACGAAACTGTTAATACGGTGGCTTGCGATATTTTACGTATGATCTACCTTTAGTAAACTAAAGTACTAAAATAAAATATTAGTAGTTCTTGCACAATCACACAACTTGTTCTATTAAAATAATCGTTTTAACAAAAAATTAAAGTTATTATCATAATTTTTTATAGTTTTTATCAAATTATCATTCATTTAAAATAAATTAAAACCAAAAAGATATACTATTTATTATCTAATTAAATAATTATCTATTGGCAATTTTATGTTCAATTATAGGCCCCCGTTTAAATAATTATAATTTTCATTGAAAATAGTTAACACAAATAGAGCACATTTCTTCTGTTGTTTTTTTAATACATAGTTCCAAATTTGATAATGTAAAATAAACACATGAAAATTAAAATTTTAAAATATTACAGAAAACTCACTACTAAACATTAATAAAATGTTTATTTTATCAACATTTTTTCTTAAAAACAACTTTTATAAATGACTATTAGCTTCGATGTGAAATAGATAAAGCATTGGTTTTATAACAATATGTTTTTTTTGTCTGTCCATGAAAATGTTCAACTCTCACTCGACCAGAATTGTTGATTTATGCATCAAAAGTACCAGATTTTAATCTAATTGAACGTATCAGTGCCAAAAAATGTAAAATGTCTACAATTTTAGAAGTATAAAATATATATCAAAATTACAATACCATTTTTAAAAAAATATTCTGCATTTTAAAAATGATGATAACATTTTATTTTTAAACATTTAGTTTAATTACTATCTAGTATTTTATATTTTTATTAATTTAATTAAAATGAGTCTTACAAATATCATCCTTCTGGTTGAATTACAGTCTACTTTATAGTTATGTCTATATACAGCAATATATTCTAAGTATGATTAAAAGTAATTTTGCATTTTGTTTAAATGTATCATTTTTGTTTTTTATCATAAACATTTTGTAACCCTCTCTTCACCATAAACGAAGCTTAAAAGTGTTGATTATATTTTCTGTATATATAACAATGTTGAAAATTTTAAGTAAAAAATAGTAAATACCTTACATTATTAAACTTTTAATAAAACGTACAAAAAATACAAAAGAGAAGATCCATATATTTTTTTATTTTGTCTAAGCCTAAAATATAAAGAATTATTATTAACTGTGAATACAAGAAAAATTGTTCTTTGCTAATGGTTTTTACATATAAAATATACTTTTTAACTAATTTGTGACTTAAATAAATACATTTTTTTAGAGTTTATTGAACGAACTCAAAAATTGGAATGATAAAATAGAAAATAGTAATGACAATGATTATCTTGTCGATATTATTAAGCAACAAGAAAGTTTAATCAATATTATTGAAAAACAACTAGCAAAATTAAAACAGCTATTATATTTACACGAACAGTTCATGTCACTAATTTCAGACATTACTACGTTTCTAACTAAATATTCTGGTGTTGTGAATGAAATTGGCAAGTCCGAAAATACTATACAAAATAAAATTAAACAATTTAATGAGGTAAAATATAACTTAAATTTTGTTCATTTATATTTTTGAATGTCAACTTTTAAATTTTGCAATTAAGTAAAATTATTGAATATTTTTAACTAGGTTATGTTAAAAATTCAAGAATGTGAGGCAACCCTAGTATCAGCTACTGATAAAGGAGAAAGAATTTCTGAAGAAGGCTCGGCATTAGACAGGAATAATATTAATCAACAATTACAGTCATTAAAGCAGCAATTACTCACACTGAAAAAAGCTATAGAAAAAGAAAAACAAAAACTAGAGGTTACTGAAGCAAAGCATATAAAATTAGCTACAGATTTAGAAGAAGCTTTAGATTGGATACATGAAAATGAAGCACTTATTAAATCAAGACCTATGCTTAATATTGACGTGAAAAGTATTGAAACTGATTTACAAGCCCACAAAGTATGCTTAAAAATAGATTTTACTGCTATATAAATATTAAATATGTAAATTTATTGATATTTATTAACATTATTGATAATTTCACGAAACATAAAATTATTCTTTATTATTCAAAATTATAAATTGTAAATTTAATTAAAATTTTTAGGAGCTATATTTGAAAGTGAATAATCATTTGAATAAACTTAAGAAAATTTGTTCTTCAGCTCAAAATGAAAATATTGAAGATAGCACTGTGTTGGAAAATTTGAGTGAAGCTTGTTCATTTTTAAACACAATTCCAAAAGAGTTAAATGATCGAGAAATATATTTAACTACTCAATTAAAGTGTCGATTAGACTATCAAATCAATAAAGATAAATTTATTTCATGGATGACGGATAGAAAAAAATTATTAGAACAATCGAAAGAAACCACTACTGATATAACTAATATTGAAGAAACCAAAGAACAAATTAAGGTACCTACAATGAACTGTTTTTCCATAATTCTAGGGTTTTTTTTTTAATTAAAATTATTAGCAATAATGATGTTTTCATAATTATCTTTATAGGTGTTAATTTGCGATAAATATGCTTATGATTTAGTTACAAATGAAATAAAACAAAATATTGATAAAATTAGACCTTCTTTAAATCCTGAAGAAATTGAAGTGTTAAAATCTGAACAGCTACATTTAAATGATGAATTTAATATATTGAACAATTTAGCAAAAGAAATTTTAAAAGAAAAAGAAAATATTATTGAGTATTTGAAAAAATATAAACATACTGTTGAAAAGATTTTATCAATAATAAATTTCAACAAACTAAACGAAGAGCCAATAAATAATTTGGCTGGGCTTTATTTTAATGTCGAAAAAATTTCTTTAATTCAAAACGATTTTCAAGTTAGTATTATTTAAATTTATTAATATTCTACACGTAATTTTTTTCAAAACTTTTATTAAAGTATTAGTATATAATTATTATGTTAAAAAATATAATATTCTGTCAATGTCGTTAAATTAACATTTTGTTTTATATTTATTCATTATATATACTGCGAGTATTATTTTTATCAACTTATTAAGGTTTTAATGTGAAGCTGAAAATAAATTAATTTAATTGAATACTTCCATTACTTTCATGTGTTAAAATGAAATAAATTGGGTTTCTATTTGCAAACAATATCACTTTAAAAGGTTTTACTTTTGTTATTCGACGAATTGAGACTTAATTAGGTTTTTTTAGTATTTGGCTATGAATTTTTATTTTTTAACCTATTAAAAAAGTTTTGTTTGAATATCATAGAATTTTATAAGTTGAGTAGAGGAATATTTAAGTTTAAAAATAGTTTTAAAAAAGTTATGCTTCCTTGCACTTTTTATTTTGCTAATGATCGTCTAACAAGAATAACTCAGAGTATTATTATTTAAAAATTGGCATCACTAAATTATATTTTATAATATGAGATTTTAAAATAATGCTAAAGTTTTATTTAGGAAATTGAATGAAGTGTACTGTTTAAAATATATTACTCGTGTTTTAGCGGCAGCAAAATGAGCTGGATTCCCTAATAAATATTTCGAACGTTATTAAAGAATTAGTAATTAAAAATGATGAGATTGATTCAGAAGTAAACTCACTTAGTACACAATGGTCCGAACATAAAAGCAAGTTAGCGTCTAGATTATCAATTATAACTGACATCGGAAACGATTGGAAAATAATTGAAAATGAATATAGAAGTATTGATACTGAATTAAATCAAATTAAAGACTTGTTGTTTTCAGTTGATTCCATTATTAGGTCAAAAAATCAATTGGATGAATCTTTAACTATATTAAATGTAATTAAATTTATATTAACGTATATTAACCAATACCTGTAAAAATAATAAAGTTATTGATTATTTAATCATTTAATCATTTAATTATATTTTATAGAATCTTAAAGAACGACTAGATAGTGTTAATGACAATATTCAAAATATAAAACAAATTTCTAAACGTGTTTTAACATTTTTAAAAACAGAATTTCATCCTGCATATGATCTATTGAATAACGAAATTAATTTATCAAACAAAAAATGTGATGAGTAAGTAATTTATTATTTTATATTTTTGTAAAAATTAATTTTATGGCTAATCAATTCAATGGTGTATTTAACATTTTGATGCGCTTAGGCTTATTTATTATGTCATCCCTTCTCTTGTCCAGCGGATGATTGAGCCACAATAATTCTGTAATCGTTCACAGTGGCCTGACATCAAACCACAACTCTTGTTATCGTTAAAACAGAATTTTTTTTATTTACTCAGATTTTATTTTTAAAAGTCATTGATTTTCTTGTGCCTAAATTTTTTTAATGTGGCGGTACCCCTAACACTTAATAATTTACTATATTTGTTCAAAACTTTTATTTTTTTTTATTTTCTCAACAAAATATTAATTCTTCTAAATACTGTATATATTTAGCTTGATATTTTACAAATAAATTTTTAAAGGTGATTTTTATATGTATTTTTACATTATATAATTATTATGTTTACAATAAACATTTCAATAGTAATTTCATTCTTACGTAGAACATAGTGCTTCAACAAGATGGGTGTTAAGTGTTTTATAACCACTGAATTGTAACGACAATGGCAGTGCGGTTACAGTTTAAGTTGTGTTTGGGCCACAAAAAACATAAAATACAAAAAAAATTTCAATATTTTGAACAAAATTTGAATATAATTACTAATCAGACCTTTCAATTTTTATACACATTGTCCTTAAAGTAACAACTACTTTTTAATTTTTTAAAATTTCTCCGTAAAAATTACAATAGTTAATTTTTAAATATCAATTTCATACTACGATGAATTGCTTTAATAGATATTTAATCATATATTATACTTGTAAATCATAGAACTACTAATTAAGAACAATGAAGGAAATAGGAGTTAATTTTGCTTTTGAATAATCCACCAATTTCTTAAAATTAAACAGTATCTACAGATTTGCATCGAAGCGTCACTTATGATAGTGATTTTAATCATAGTCAGATATCATTTATACTTGTGCCAACTATACCACGACCCCACTATGCTACTATTTTATATGCTGATTCAGTATAAGTTAATTAATTATATAGATATTTACAAAATTATAATTTTCCCAAAAATATGTTTATTATAAATGTATATATTTCCATTGAATAAAAGAACATTTTTATTTGTACCTTTTTTTTATACAGGATTTAGAAAAGGAAATTAGGGGAAAAGCAAATTCTGTAAACGATTTTATTTCAAAAAATTCTGTTCATTTTAATGTTGTCTCGTCCAAAAGACGGGTACCAATTATCTATTTTGGAGGGAGGGAAATAATAAAAAAACAAATTAAAATATTTAATTGTCAAAAAAAATGTTTTAAATATGAAAAATTGTACATCAGTACATTTTTCTCCATAATAACAATATCATATAATTCTTAATTTTGAGTTTTTACAATTTTAAAACTCATATTTAAAAGTATACTTCATTGTAAATATTAAATTAAATTTCTTATTTTATAAAAAAACGTATAAAAATCTTATAACAACTTAATCTATTTTATTTTTTCAACACTAGTAAATGCTCTTTTACCAGTTTCAGCTTATTTATTACTTGGTTTTTTATACCATTTTACTATTTCAATTCGTCACGAGTTCGTAGAAACCATGATATTATTTTTAATTATATGAAATGTCCTAAAATTGTTCAAATTCATCAAAAATTAGTGTTTGAACATGCGCTCATGAACAATGTTCTTTCCAAATGCTATTAATAATATAATAGAACAAAAAATAACCAATAATTATGTTCTTACAAATTTTTTTATCCGATGGATATTTTATCCATTACAGAATTTTAATGCATACTCACTATGTAATAAAATGCTGTAATATTTTGAAAGTAGTTATTAATTCTTTAAATAACATAGAACGTGTTGACTAACCTACAAAGTAAATTGAAGTATTTTTATCATAAGTGACCTCTGTAACTAGAGTGATTCATAAATATTTAAAGTGTAGACTATAAAATTTGTAGCTGAGTGTATTCATCATTGATTTAGTTCTTAATATATTGGAATGATTAATTAAAATATAGCTGTATGAAATATTTCTTTTGCATTTTCACAATTTTCTTGCTATTTGTAAATACAAATACTCAACAAATATAAACTATTTTGTATAGTGTACGACTGGGTCTCATTAAAATATTTTTTTAATTAAACCGTCGATCCAGAAATACTTTATTATTGAAACTTGATTTTAATATAGGATATTTTTAGTTGGTGATCGATTTTATAATTATAATAGAAATGTTGGTGTAGTGTTGTTTACAATTTACGATTTAACAATAGGATCACAACATGTTTTTTTTAAGTACAATTAGAGCAGTTAATTTGTAATTTTATTTCATTTTTGAAATCACTATCTTGTTATTCCTAACGTAATTCCACATAGGAATGTGTATAGAATTTTTTGGTACATAAGAGATTTTTTACATATTTTGTATGTATATTTTAATATTATTATAATTTATAAAATGTTTATTATGTTTTAAGATATGTTTCATTTGATATTCAAACGCTTTTTCTTTTGTGTATAGTATAGAAATTGAAAATTGGTAATAAGCCAAATAACAATGTACGTGAAGCAAGACTTTGTTTTCTATTTCCGTCATACGTTATGCACAATATATAGTAAACCATATTTTTATATTTCTGCGATGTACTTGGAAAATAAATAATAATAAATTTAATATAAAGATTGAATAATTAAAACATTTTACATAATACTTTAGAAATCATACTTAATTCAAAAACATGATATTTTTATCATATTAATAAACAAATATAAATATTTATTTAAATCATAAAATTTTGTAACACTATATAAAATTATTTATATTCGTTAAAGTTATGTGAAACATAAAGCAAGCTTAAATTTAATGATTTTATTTGTTTGATTTTTTGAAAGTTGTTATTATAACATATTTGTAGTCATTAAAATATTAATCTAATTGATAAATTATGAATTATGTTGTCTTAGTTAATCAAATTTGAAATGTAGTTCTTAAAATAGGGCTTACACAATTTGTTAGTTTCTAATAGACATAGTTATAATTTATATTTATCTATAAAANTTTACACAACATGTTAGTTTCTAATAGACATAGTTATAATTTATATTTATCTATAAAAATATATTAATTATTTACTTCTTAAATGTACTGAATACTTCCAAAATAATAGAATAGTAAAATTAATATTTAATATTCATGGGATTTGGTATAGTTCCAAAAAACATAAAGTGTAAATATAGCTCTGGAATATGTGAGCAGATTTTCTGTAGTTAATTGTTAGTATTTTTATGTACTTACTTACAAGTACAATATAAAATCAAAATTCAACTGTATAAATGCAAAGTATATTATTCTTTTAAAATTTTATTTACAGGTTAACGTCAAAACTTGACAAAATATTACACCATTTTGTAGATAATTTGAGTATTTTCAATGGAACAGTAGAAAAATTAAATGATTTGGAACATAAAGTATCAACATTAAAACCAAAAGTTGAAAACTTTTATTTTTTTGGACCAGATTTTGATCAAACCAATAAGCAATTTGAGGTAACTATATTAAATAATGATGTTTTTTATTTAAACATAAAAATTTTTTTTCATATGTGAGTGTCGCAAACAATAATGATTACACTAATTCTAATGTGAAAATACATTTTTAATTTTATATGTGTTTTACTTTATTTATCTTTTTTCTTTTATATAATTTAAAAGAAAGGCATATTGATTTTTTACAAATTTTGTATAGATTTTATTTTACCGATGGACATTTCACTTTCAATATATCCAGTGATGTAATAAGGTTTACAGCGTTCTGGGGTAGTTTGTATTTGATGCCCTCCTAAAATTGTTTATGTTTACCCAGAAACAATTTCAGGCTTAAAGAACTTAAAATATGTATAAATGCAAGAATATAAATTATAAAAAACATAACATATATTTTTATCCGAGTTTTATCAGATACATCAGCAATGATGCCTCCAAAAGACTCAGGATAACTATTTTCATTGCATCTACCTCAGATAGCACCTTATTTAGACACTAAATATCCTATATATAATCTAAATTCCTAACATACATAAAATTACTATCAAACTATAGTTAGGTAGCAATTACAAAAATATTTTGAGAGTTGATAAAACATAAAAATTATATAATATTTTTAAGTTTAAGTAATATTAGCCACAAATCATTATTTCTTATTGTATTATTATTTGTAACTAAAATTGAATTTTAGATTTTGTCGTGCATCGTGGAAAGTGTTCTTAGTGAACTGAAAAATTATACAGAATTGACACGCAATAATTACATAGATTCGCAGCAGTTGGTTCCAAATGATTTATTAAACAAGGTATGTTAGAAATTTTTCTATTAACTAACAATATTAGCATTTTCAAAATAATTTAACAACTATAAAGATTAATTTTATACAAAAATTGTCAACAAAATGTAAGGTTTAAAATTTTACAGAAAAATCTTTGCGACAAATATGGTAGAATAGGTTCTTCATTTACATTGTTAATAAATCATATCTATTTAAAGTTTAATTTATTGATTCTATTATTTTATTTAAATAATAACTGGACAAGTTTGATTGAAAATGGTATTTAAGCATTAATTATAAATAAAATTTAATTAGTGTACTGTTACTCAAAAGTATTTGCAATTTAATTTAAAATTAAAAATAAAGTTTGAGTCTAATTTGAAAGTGATAATATTATATGAGAGTTGAATAATGTTTTTGAATACTAAGTCTTTTCGATATACAATTATTTTCGTACTATCAAATATTAAACATTTAAAATATTTAAGTACGAATTTCATATTTATATATATATATATATTTGGTTAGATTTTTTAAGTTGTTTGGATTTCTTTTATTTGGTCTTAAATTTAATTTTTATTAAACGTAGTCTCGATAAATTGCACGTATTAGGAAAAAAGGGAAACCTGTACAAATTGACGAAATCGAATCTTAGTAAAAACGTACCGTATGACAATACGTTCACTGCCAAGCTACAGGCTTACATTTGAACATTTTTATAATTTATGACTTTATAATAACACAATATAAATATTTACCCTTATATTTAATTCCCAAAACTTCTAAATAAAATATGCTTGGAAACCTCGGATCAGGGATCGTTCTCTAACTGCGTTATTGATAAATCGAATAAAAGATTGTTGGAGATCTCCCGTTTTAAAATTAGAATTGAATGCTTTTTCATACATGTTCATTTGCTCCATATAATCATACAGACGCATGCCGCGGCAATGTAGAGAAAGAATCTAATTATTATATTTAGCAGTGTTTCAAGAATTTTTTCGATTTCGGGGTAAAATGAAACATACTGCTTGGAAAGCGTCCGCTTTTCCATCACATTATTCTATAATTAGGAATCATTTTATTTTAAATAAATTTTTGTGTTTAAATTAAATATTTTACTATTACCTTTTAATAAATTAATTTTATATAGGTACGAAATACAAAATAGTAATAGTTGATTATTGTTTTTTTATTTATTAGCATACTTATGTCATCTGAAACTAAAATAAAAAAAAACAATCTGTTCATAAAAATTTACAATAAGTTTTTTTGTTGACTTATTTAATTACATAACATTAATAGCGTTAAAGGAAGTCACCCATTGGTAACACCTCGATTAGTTTTTGTTGAAACTGTATACAAGTTTTATTGTTGTCGTTAAAAAAGATTAAAATTTAAATAAGTTGTTCCCAAACCTATTTTGTAAATAAAATATATAGAAAAATGATTTTTTTATTTTCTGTACTATTTGACGTTCCCTACATGATTTTAATACCTTAACACAGCTATTGAAATATTTATATAAAAGAACTTCATAGGTATCAATAGACATTTTATATACATTTAAAAATATGATTATAATCTTTCTAAAGTGAATTTTTATCAAGTAAGGTTTCAAAAAACCATTTTATAAAAATCAACTTGTTTCTTGTAAAAAAACAGATAAACTAACCAAGAATTATTACTTTTGTTTAATGGTTATTAGCGTGATTATGATAATTTTATCATTTTAGCTTTGCATTTTTGTCACTAGTATATTTCATATATGTAAACTCTATGAAATAACAGTGTTTACAAACTGTTGACATAATAGACCAATAATTTTAGAACTAATGAATTTTTTTATAGTTAGAAAACAATAATCAACATTTATAGTTTTCTTTGTTGCGATAGATAATTCAGTAAATTTATAAAACATCATTAATAACAATTTAATAATTATAATTATTAAATACACATTAAAAATATACTTTCATGTCAACTATATAGTTTAAGATTATAAAATAAAAATAAAAATTTGAAACTTCATTTTTAAATAAAGCTTTAATCATTAATTTTTTAATAAAAAAAGTTGTTTTTTTCCAAAAACGTAAAATAATTCAAGAGTTCATTACACCATTTTTTTTAGTAAATTTTAGCTTCGATGCGAAGCTGAGAAGATATTAATTTTACCATAATGTATTTATTATTATAATTTTTTTTTTTTGAACTGAATATATTTGCTCAAATTAATTTCTGAATTTTTGATTATTTAAGTTAAAAATTCCTCAAGGATTGGACACTATAGTTGATTATTTTTTCCAATGTCTTTTTATTAAATGAAAAATTCAGAAGAGTTAAATATTACTTATATATGTCGTGGTCATAAAGTGACAAATGAAGCCGCCTACTTAATAATAATTACAGTTTGTTTGGGCGTAGAGCCTAATTCTATGTATTTCGTTAATATTAAAAAAACGTCTTAAAACTAAAGATTTGATGGCATTTTTAAAATATATTCTACTTAAAATTTTTTTTATTTCCTCTTTTTCTTATCAATATTAAACTAAACGATTCTAAAAAAATTGGTTTATATCAAAATACGTGATCAACTTATGTTTAGATAGAATTTTTCTATTATTATATGAATTTCGATTCAAAACTTTATTAGTTTCAATTGAAAAGACAGTTAAGTTTTTAATTAAGTTATCCCTTATTGTATAATAAGAAATAATTCATCCTTAAGTATTAATCAACAATCTTTATTTTTGTTTACAACTTTGTATAAGCGCTATTAAATTATTACGAAGATAGTTGTTACATTACATCATTTCATAATTTATCACCATTTTCAGCCATACTATCACTCTCCGACCTTCAAAATTATTCCATCAGCTAAAAAATAAACTATTAAATAGCTATTGTTTTTTAAATATTCAATCGTATACAATTATCGACTAAGATATAAAATATAATATTTGTTATTATTAAATTTGATAGGTTAAACAAGGGTATTGTTACCTGTTCAGTTTTTTGCAGTTTATTTTTTAATTATTAATAACTAAAAAAAACAATTTAACATTTATAACACAGTTATTGTGCTAATAAAAAAAAGAAATTATAAGTCTTTATAAATAATTAAAATTATGATATAAATAAAATAAAATTTAAAATTAATAATGTATTATAAAATAAATAATTTTAAAAATACCATCAAATGCTAGTAATACTACGAGTAGGACCCTCACTTTTTTGAGGTTCTAGCGCCCCTTGTCCTTTCCTAAATCCGGTCCTAATCGATAACCATAAAAACCAANTATAGATATTTTTCTTGAAAAAGAATATTCTTTTAGTGAACAATAAATTTGAAATAACTTGATTTTTGTAGTTATCGATAGGACCAGATTTAGAAAAGGGCAAGGGGCGCCAGAACCTTAAAAAATTAAGTGTCCCACTTGTATAATTACAAGCATGTTATTTATTTTCGCTTCATTTTTTTACAATTTAATACTTTAATCTAAAATTGTACATTTTTTTGAAAATATATACGTGAATGCCGAGTATTTCAGCTAGTTCTTTTATGTTATAAAAATGTAATAATTTTGTATAGTTTTTAATAAAATAATTATCTGTTTATAAGTTGCGTTTGAATATAATTCTCCGTGTAACCGTTTCAGAAACAAAAAAAACCTAGTAAACAAAAGCAGTTTTAAATAGATCATTGAAGTTGTTATATAAATTTTGTGATAACGTCGAAAACGATTTTTTTAATGTATTGAAGCGGAATACTCCATTTGTTTACATTCTGCAACCNCATTGATGCGGAATACTCCATTTGTTTACATTCTGCAACCTCACAATCATAGGGGCCAAGTTGCCATATTACCCCACCAGAAAGTTTACACCGTGCATTTTTTAAATTGTGATGTAAACTTATTTTTCGTAATTCGTTTCTGAAAGTTAAAATTGTTATTAAAATTAAAATGGTAGTATATATAAATCTATAAATTGTAGTATAGTTTTAATTCGATTTATGATGACTAAAATCATTATACATTATAAAATTTTAGTTACACGTACGAGTATTAATGTTGTTCAAATATATATTATTTTTAAAAAAGTATACTCTTGATCATAACGTTTATAAATATAGGTGCAATTTGATTGTTTATATATATTGTGATGTCGTTAGAGGCCAGATGTCCGCGATCTCTCTAGTCATAATCACTTATTATAACGTATTCCGTCATTTAGTACACTGCTGAGGTCTTATAAATAAAACGTCCTTTAAAACAGTTTTGTGGTGACTAATATCCATGTGTATAAACCTGTTTTTACAGCATCTATGCATAGCGAAAATTTTTTACACTAACTAGTTGGGCGTTAAACGTTTATTTTATAGTTCTTCATCACTCAGTATTGAAAGCTCAGTATTTAATATTTCAATCCACGAAGTTCAACTTACTTTATTTTTAATTTTTCTATTCAATATGACATAGATTTATTTTACACAAACTTATTTTACTATTGAAACAATCGTTACTATTAATTATTATTTTAGTTATTTGCTATGTATTAGAATAATTAATATTTGAAAAAATGTAAAAAAAAAATAATAATGATAATTTAAAAATATTCTTAGTTTAATTACTTGGAACTGGAGTCTGAGGAAATAATGAGCCAAATGGATAAGAACATAAAAGGAATAAAGCGTGCTAAAACCGTTCGGTCAGAATATTTAAAAGACATTGATGAGATACAGAGATGGCTCCAACAATCTGAAGTAATAATTCAAGATCGCAGTAATGAACCAATTAAAATCAAAGAACACATTGAGGTATAACACTTTAAATTAATATAAAATGAATCAAGTAAATATATGGGACGTCGTCTAGAAAAAATAATTTTCCTCTCGAATTGCCATTGTCTTACAGATCTGACACACTATTAGAAAACTATTTGAACGAGTGATTAAACCATCCTTAATACTTTGTAAGACGATGACATTTCGACAAGCAAAATATTTTTTCTTAATGATGTCCAAGTATTTACTTGTTATAGCTTTATAATCCGACAATTATATATTATTCTTCTTAGCAATAAAAATACTTAAACTTTTCCTAGTTTATTTCTTAGTGATCAATTTGTTTCTAACATTTCATAATAAATAACTAACTAATAATAAAAAAATGTTATTAAGGCGATTTTGTTTTGCCTGGATTAATTATACATTAATTATATTTATAATATCTATTGATAGTCTCATGGAAGTTATTGTTTGCATTAGAGTTGTTCTTAAAATAAATAATAAGACACTAAATACTTAAATAAAATGTATTATCAGTTGAAAGTTACTAATCAATATTCTTTTACGAGAGTGCTAAATTAGTCACAAACTTTTTTTGAAATAACCGAAAAGTCTCAATACTCAATACTTCAATGCTTTAATAAATATTTATTTTTAGTTGCTTTCATTATTAATTTAATTATCACAATTAACACAGCTTTAATCAAATTTTATACGAGTTTATATGCAATTGTGTTCAAAGACTAATCAGTCGCGTATTGGGAATTTAATAACCCAGGTAGCAGAGAAATGAAGCAATCCTTATTATAAAGAAGTTTAAAAAAAAGTTCAAAAATAAAAAATATAAAAACTCAGCACAGTGGGGTCGCGAGATAGTGGGAACGTGGCATAGTTGGGTCCAGTATAGATTTAATCTGACAGTGATTAAAATCACTATCATAAGAAATGCTTCGATGCAAATCTTTAGATACTGTTTAATTCTGATAAATTGATGGATAATTACAAAAGCAACATCAACTTCTATTTCCTTAATTATACCCAGCTTAGTAATTCTTTTAATTATATATTATATAATTTTTAAAATTAATTGTTTTCAAATTATTATTGATTTTGATTTGTAATATGTTAAAAGTAATTATTTTGAACCTTCTTTTTTTTGTCCTTTAGAGTGAAAGTTTTAATAAAAAAAAAAGTGAATTCATTACCATAACTTTTAGCTCAACTTGCAAGTTTGAAATTGACATTATTAAATAGAAAAAAATGAAAATTTTAAGATTAATATGCAATCAGGAAATTTTATAATTACTATTTACAGTACATTTATCAGAAAAGTTCGATTTATTTTACATTTTTATCGTAATAAATAACTTAAATAAAAATCATAGTAATCATTTCTAATTAACTTTTGATGTTTAAAAAGATTCTACAATGGAAATATTCAGAATTTAATTAATTTTAATGATTATATATCTAAAAAAACCAATTACATTTTTTTTAAATTTCGACAGCCATTTGCACATAGAAGATAAAGTGTCGGGACAAATTTTTTTTGATAACCTTTGATTTGATATATGTTTAAAGGACGCAGTATTTCATTTTCAAAAGTTAAATTGAAAAAGTTCTATTTTTTATACAATGTTTCAAATTTTGAACACCCCCTATGTAAGGGAAAATTGTTCTATTTTAATAAAAAGTATGTCAAATGAAAAAAACGAAAAGTTATAGTATTTTTAAGTTGAAAAATTAAAATCGAAAATTTTTACACAAAAATAGCGTTTTTTTATTTACGGAAGTCGTTTGCATGCAGAAGATAGAGTGTCGGGACAAATTTTTTTTATTTAATTTTATAGTACATAAAATAATCTTTAATTTGATATATGTTAAAAGGACGCAGTATTTCCGGAACATTTTCAAAAATTAAGTTGAAAAAGTTAGTTTTTGTAAAAAAGTTGCAATTTTAAATCCCCCCCAGTGAGCAGTTTAAGTGTTAAATTTTCAACAAATGATATCAAATGAAAGGAAAATATCTAAGGTTTAAGTATAAAAAAAATTATGTTGATTTGTTGATTTTTGAAAAAGTTATGCAAGTTTTAAGAAAAAAAAGTGAAAAAAATGACAAAATTTACAGATTTTTAAATTTGTAATTTTTTTAGAGATTTTCCCCATTTGCGGGGAACGAGGGAAAAATTTTCAATTTTTAAGGGTAATTTCTTCAACTAGATACGATTTGTGATCTTTTGACGTATTGTTGAAAGAAATTGGTTGTCCAGTGAGAGCTGAGAAAAAGTGGTGTAACAGATACAAAAAAAAACATATCATGGTAAAATTAATACCTTCTCAGCTTCGTATCGAAACTAAAATTAAAAGGCTCACAGAAAAAATGTTGGCAAAAAATATGTTTAAAAATTTAATTTGCCTAGTTTAAGCTATCTAGAGATCTTGTTATTAATGAATCTCAAATGGGTATTACCTTTTTCTCCCGCGATCAGTCCACCTCTAAAGGTAATAATAAGCTAATTTTAATAACCTCAAAATTATTTTCGTTATTTGTTACTAATATCCTTATGTATTTAATAATTTTTATAAGTCATATAAAGAATTGAAACATATTTTAGTAAAGTATTACTTTTAGTGCTACACATTAAAACTAATGTAAAGTAAAAAATTTATTACAAATCTTAAAAATATTATTTATATAAAACTGGTATAAATAACTATTATTTCAGAAAATTGAAGAAGAAATAACCATTATGAGTGACAAACTAAACAGGGTAATAACACACAGTAGAGAAATTGTGGAAAACATCAAAGAAGCTGATGAAAAAGTCATAATACCAAAAACTGTGGAATCGTTGGCTCATAAAATGAATCAAATCAACGTATGGATAGATGAAAAACGTCTTCAGGTAGAATAAAAATAATTATTGTATTGTTTAAGTTAACAAAAAACTAACAAAAATAAGTATTTTTAAAATCATTGTCAAATATTTAAAAAAATATATTTTATTTGAAAATTTTCTATTTTAAAATCTTCCCTGTAATTATGTTTAATATTTAATATCCAAAAAGAAGTGTATCGATAAAAAAAAACATTTTTCTGTATAATAAGAAAATTTCATCAATCCAATTTTATCTAAAAAGTTAGTTATTTTAAATTGCGGATAAAAATTAAAAATTTCCATTTTCTAGAATTGTAATATTATGAGATATTATCACTTAAATATTTTTTTAAGTTAATGTCATCAATTTATTATGATTCAGGTTCTTTTAATGTATTGATCTATAATATTGGCCCAGTAGAATCCGAATAACAGTAACGACATACATAAATACAACATAGTAAAATTAATTTGACCATGATGTGCTATGTGGTATTAATTTAATACCTTCTACAGCATCAAATAGAAGAAAAATCTTCTTAATATTTAATGTAAAATGTAAAGTAAATATTATTGTAAGATAACGCATACAAAATTTTGCTAGTATTATTCATACAATTTTTTAAAAATATATCATTTCCAATATCTTTCAAGCATTTCAGACATTATATTTTCTGTCAATTATTAATTCATTATTATGTAAACATTACTATTCATACATATTCATATCATTATAGTTATTTTAAATTTGATTTTACAAAAGTGTTTCATATTTAATGTTATAAATATTTAATGTTTGTATCATTTTTTACTATAATTAGTAATTGTAAATTATCGATTATGAAAAGATGAAAAGATAATTTGTATTCGTTCATCATTTAATAAAATTAATTAATTTGTTATTTTCAGATTGGTAACACCCTAGATGCTTGGCAGAAATTCATGTCCCTATATGATACAGTTATTACTTGGTGTAAAGATAAAACTAAATTTTTAGAAGAACCGATCATATTAAGTACATTAGAATCAGCTAAACAGAAGTCGCATGAATTTTCGGTATTAAGCTTTTAAAGATTTACTTAACCTCAAATTTTAAATTGCCAAAATTTAACTCTTAGGTAGCCGTAAAATCAAGTAAACACCAGAGCAAAAATTTAGCTGAAATGAATAAGGAGTTGGAAATAATAGCTATGTCAACAGATGTTGGATCATTACCAGAAAAGTTGGAAGAAGCTAATAATATAAAAAATGAAGTTGAAGGAAAATTATCAGAAAGAGTAATTAGAATAATTTTCAATCAAAGGTATAATTATCAACATATTAATCACAAATAACTTTTTAGTATGCATTATTACACGAAGCTTGCGAAGAATGGGAACAGTTTGAAAGAAAATTAAAAGATGTTAGAACATTTATTGAAAAATCTAAACATGTTATTGAATCACCAGGTAATAAAAAACGAACCTTGAGGGAACAGCATGATTTAAGAGAAAAAATGCTAGCTGATATCTCAATACAAAAGAAAAAAATAACTTTATCAACAGATAAATTACAGGTATTTCATTAAATCATAACAATATTAATAAAAGACAAATTTTTTAAATTTTAAAATCAGATTCTAAGCAAAACGCTATTAATTAGGATAAACCTGATAACGTATTTTAAAAGAAATTTTTAGATGATGAGTTCCTTTGACCTTAAATCAGCAATACATAACTTTATATTTCGTAATTATCAAACGATTTAATGACAATGTATGAATTGTATGAGTATGTGTTTAGCGTTGATAATGGTAACATTGTTTCCGAAATACGTATCCGCGACTTTTCATTAATTTTTTTGTGGCTTTTGAGTTTAATATTTTTAATATTTTTTAGTTTTTTTAAATTAATAATATTTTTAATATAGTTTTAATTTTACTTATATATAATAAATCAGTATTTTGAATAATCTTTAAAACAATATAAGTGTATTTTATTGACTTTTATGTAGCTGTTGTTTAACAACATTTTGTTTATAACTTTAAAAGTGATCGTCAACCAATAATATATATATATATATTTATAGGTAACTTATCTATGATAAATATCAATTAAAAAAAAATATTAAATATCACATGACTTAGGTGTTTTTTTCAATATATAATAAAGAAAAAAAACCGGAAATATCCATTACGCCTTTTACCGTTTAAAACTTAATATACTTTATATCAGGGAATGATGCTGATGTATTAACTATAGTGCAATTTACTCCTTAAGTGGTTGAATATTAAGCTTTATTTTTATTTTGCTGAAATATTGAGAGTTTCTTAGAACATTCAGGTAACAAACATGAATCGATAGCATCATATTTTAAGATGTAATGTTGCTGCAAGAAAAAATAAGTTACGAGCAAAAAAAAAAATGGTTTATTAGATTAAAAACTCAATTATAATATAATATAATATAAACGACGGCTAACGGATCAATTTACGCATATGACTTTTGCGACGAAACTAAAAGACATATTTGGAATTTTGGCCCGGGTGCAATATATGGTTGGGTTGCTAATATATATGGTTGCTACAGCTTCGCCCTGAAGCAATACCTCGCGGTAGTTCCAGGGCGGTCCACAGTATGCCGGATAGTGTATTGAAAAAAAAAAAAGGGTTGCTACAGCTCTGCTCGTAGTTGAAGATTAATAATAAAAAAAAAGTTATTATTAGAACCCCAGTCCATTAGGTAGACAATAAGGACACAAAGACCACAACTCTAATTGACCACAAAGTTTAATTTAAACGAGTTAATACACAAAAAAGGTCCATTCCAGGCCGTATGTTCAAGGTGTCTTAGACACCCTCTGAACTTTTTTTAAATGTACATACTTGTTTATATATAAGGTGATCTGTTTATCATAAACCACTTAATTACTCACATAATATAAATAGTTTTGAAATTTTATTTTTTTATTACTTTTAGTTACACATTTTTCTCAAATTATTAGCTATGTAATACTTTTTTTTAAGTTCACATCTCTTATACAATCCTTATGCCTTGTAAGGGTGTGAACTTTATTTTTAAAATTAGAAACATATAGTTTAAATTTTTTAATTAACGAAGATTTTTGTTTTTATAGCATTATAATTTTTATTTGACTTAACTCGTTAATGAACTATAACATTTTAAAATTAAAATTTTCGGAATTAAAATGCATGTATAGTATCTAAAACATCACAAATAAAGGTAACTACTTATCTTCTTAATTTCATCACTATTCATATATATGCAGCAGTTTCTGCTAATTATGAGTACTATTGAGTGATATCATCCATGTAGTTCTAAGACACATTGTTGCAACTAAAGGCTTTAATATAAACATTTATAATTGACCCATCAAAACGAATCTATTAGATACCGGTTAGTATGTAATCCCTCATATATTATAAATTTATTTTAACTTAAATATTCAAAACTTAAAAGTATTAATCTAATAAACAGAAGAAATTATATTAAATATTTAAACACTATTTATATGTTTAAATTAAACATTAAATGTTAAGTATGTATTCCATTTGAAAACATACCTATATAATTCGAAAGTAATATGTAACTAAATGCAATGAAAAAAAAAATTTATATTCTACAAGTAATTGAGTGGTTTATGATAAATATATGACTAAGTACAAGCTGGTCCTCGAAGTTTTGACAAATCTAATGCTTTAGATTAATTTTTATAATTAATTCTTTCCATTATAATAAATAGAAAAACAGTCATTCTTTAATGAGTTTAAAGATTTTTTATGACATACTACATCATAAAATTTAAATTCACTTTGTTATAATAGTAAATAAACAAATAAAACTATTATTGCAAATTAAAATACATTTTATTTTGGGAGTAAACAAAAATATTTAAATCTATTATTGTTATATATGTGAGTAAAATATGAAAACTTTTTGAGATTTCGCATTTATAAATTTTATATATTTAGTAATCGAGATCTGTCATAGATAAAATAGATAAATTTTCAAACTTTTGATTAACGTATTTTAACAATACCAGTTGTATAGTAAATAATTATTATATTACTATGACGAAGCACAAGATTTATTATATTTAAAAAATATGTATATATAATTAACAATATATCAAATAATGACATATAATTAAAAATAAATCTCCAGTAATATTTAAAAATACATTTAACACATTTGTGTACTAAATGTACTAAAGAATAACCAAATTATAGGCATCTAGTAGTTACTACCAATGCCGTCACCAAATTGTAGTTTATCACTCTCTATATAACATGTCCTGACAGTAATCTAAATAATTTATAATTTTATTTTATTACTATTTTTCAGATACATTTTCGTGCTGGTTTTGGAGGTAGTGTTAATNTTGTTTTATTACTATTTTTCAGATACATTTTCGTGCTGGTTTTGGAGGTAGTGTTAATATTTCTTCTGAAGCAATAGAATGTCTTTCACAATTAGATAGTTTTTCTAAAATTGTTGAAGATCAAGCAAATAATTTGGAAGAGAGCCTGTCACAACTTGACAAATATTATCAAGTATGTTATAGTATAGACTCTATACTATAGAGNGGTATATTATAGTATAGACTCTATACTATAGAGTGATCTGTTTATCATAAACCAATTAATTACTCGTATAATATATACAATATTAAAACTTTATTTTATTTTTAAACTGCCATAACTTTTTTCTAAATTGAACAAATCAAAATATTTTTTATATATAGACTATACGTATTTTCCTTTTATTTGATATACATTTTTTTGAAAACCTGACTATTTACCTATCTGGGGGGATTCAAAATAGCAACNGAAAACCTGACTATTTACCTATCTGGGGGGATTTAAAATAGCAACTTTTTCACAATAGTCAATTTTTTCAACTTAACTTTTGAAAACGTTCGAAATAATAAAACCTTTAAACATGTGTAAGTTAAAGAAAAAATTGTCCCGCGACCTATCTTCTATGTGAAAATGGCCGACGAAATGGAACAAATATATTATATATTTAATAATAATTAATGGTTTAATAGTTAAACCATATATCTGTTTATTATAATTACAATAAACGGATCAATTTGTATAACATTTATCAAGTATATTATGATATATTTTTAGATTTAACAAAAAATTCGGAAAGGATTTTAGCTATAAAGAATAGTAATACTAAAAATAATTACAATAAAATTACATTTCCAATTTTTTCTTATTTTTAGTTAAATATTAAGTAATATATTTACTTAATAAAATTTTATATTTTATTCAACATTCTCATGTTTATTACAAATTTATTTTTTCTATTTGTAGGAAATACAAAGTCTTCGTCAACAAGTTATAACAGCTGAACAACAGTTAAGATTATTTCAAAGTCCGACTTATTTACCCAATGATAGATCCAAAGCTTTACAAGAACAAAATGTAGGTGTTTTAATAGATCAAGTACTTTAAAATAACTATTAAATATTCAATTCATACTTGATCATTCTTATAAAATTATAATAAAATATACTTCTTAATGTTTAACTATATAATTTATTATTTAATTATTTATACATAGTTTTTCGTAAGCCCACTATAGTGCTAGATTATATATATATTTTAAATTAAAGATTAATATAAAATTAAAATTACATATTATGTGTATATATAGTTGATATTCATTTTATAAATTAGAAGAATTTAAGTTTTTAACTCACCCAACATTTTATTACTAAATACTATTATACTTATAGTAGCTCAATTACTGATAACGTTTCAAATATAAAACAATAGTTTTCATATTCAAACATTTTAATATGTTTATTCCATTAATAGAATTAACACGAATTCAAATTTTATATTATATTGTGACAATTAAATTAAGTGAATGTATTTAAAACAAATTAAAACACTGTTCCATTAAATGGAACATTGCAGGCATTACAAGAACAAATACAAGTGCTACACAGCAAGATTAGCTCAAGAATCGAACGAACAAAATTGATCATTCAACGAGGCTCCCCAATATCTGAACCTTTATTAAACTAAATAATAATTTAACCCTATTTATTACTCAACTTCAAATCCATTCCATAATTTTTAATAATATTTTTAAGTAAATTCCTAAAATTAAGATTATTTTTTAAACGCATTTATTCGGTCACGCAGGACGTTCGAAACGCACTGGAAACAAATCGACATCATTTGGATCGTACGGTGAATACTGTGCGAACTCATATCGAAAAATTTATCGGTTCCAATCCTTTGATGGCATCCACGTCGTGTACAGATCCGATTAATAATCTTAAAACTCCACCTATAAAATTTAAAACTCCCTGTATTGTGATACATTCAACTACTATCAGTGATCAAACAGAACGTAGTTCCCAATCTTCGTCTTCATGTTGGTCGAAAGGAGAAAATTCATCAACTTATTCAGAAGTTGTTAAAAATGGTGTGGTATCAAATAATAAAAGTATGAATGAATGGTTGGAAAAAGAAATACAAGATAAACTTGAACAATCAAACGGCAACATAATAAGACAATTAAGACGTAACATAATTAAAGAATCGAATACTGACACCGATATTGAAAAAAGTAAGGATACGATTATTTCAGATTATCCTAATTATGAAAAATTACAGTTAATGCCAGAAAACGAATCGAAGAATGAATCAGACTGTGTAATATATGACGAAAAAAAAGTAAGACTTTCTCGATCTAGAAGAAAACAGGAAGTTGATAGTAATGATTCTAAAAAAATTGTCATTGAATCAAACGATTCAATTAAAAATAACGACACATACCCAGAAATAGTATTTTTTGATTCAAAAATTAACCGAGATAATATGATAAATAATCAAAAAATACTTATTGATAATGCTGTACCTTGGGTAGACTTAGAACATAACAGTTTGAAAAATAAAAATTCAAGTGTTTCAATTCAGATATCTATGCCATTTAACATGTCAAATCCCCAAAAATTTAACTTTTCCAATCATTCAAAAAAAGTACATTCAAATAGTTGTGTTGAACTTGATGAACAACTCAAAGGTATTTTTTGGTCAGCTGATCATTTGTGCTCTCGTGGCCGTTTATTTACAGATCGTCCGCGTTCTAAATCGGATACTCGTGATCTTAATAAACTCAAACAAGTATTTATTAACTCTAAAGATTTATCCGCGTGCCGTTTCGAACGTAGTGCCGAATCGGTTCAATATAATAATATAAAAAATACCAAACCCTGTAGACATTCTTTTGATAATATTTTATTTCCTTCCGAAAATATTCTGGTGGATTCGAATGGCACGAACGTTATCAAAAATAATGAACCTGTAAGATATGAATACTCAACCTTGATATAATGTTGAGTTTTGTTGTTAATGTTAATAGTTAATGACTTAACATTTATAATTAACTTTTTTTTAAACTAATAATTTTAAACAATTCAGTTAATATTGAAGTGGTCAGATTTACTCTTATTAACCTCATCTTAACCTTTTGTTGTCTAAGCGAAATTAAACTAATGATTTATTTATTTTATTGTAAACTGTATAAAAGAATTTTATTTTCCATAATTGCTTGTAATTGTTTCTAAATTAATAAAATTATAATTAAATTTACTATTATAAATTATAGTAAATTGTAATAATTATCATTTTTGTGATTTAGTAGATAATAGCACACTAGTTCCTTTCATTTGTAAACTAACAAATATAGTTTGTGCGGATTACTTTATTTTAGACGTTACGCCATATTAAACAGTTTTTTTTTTAGAATTTGGAATCTAAACTGCAAGTATTGTTCAATGAGAGTATTGCACCAATCGAATTATCACTTAAGTCATATGAAACTTTCGAAGAGGGCAGAATTGCTTTAGAAGAATTAAAGTCTACCAAAAATGTAATTACAGACTTGATTGATAAAAGTAATTCACCTGATCAAGTTCCGATTCAACTTTTACATGAAAAACAAAGCAAGCAAATTGACGAAAAAGTATGTATATTAAATACCTAAAAACTAAAATCCTATCCAACATTTTTTTTCAAATATAATTAAAAAGTATTAAATTAAGAATATATTATTGATTTACTTAATATTTTTAGTTACTTAAGTCTTAGAGAATTGAAATTCAAATGTAAAAATGCATTTTTATTATTTTAAAATCAAATTAAATTAGACGTGTTAAAATGATAATATATCAATCAACTAAATAAAAAATAAAATACGAAAAATATTAATCAAATTAAATGTAAAGATAAAATATTTTTTATTATTGNCAAATTAAATGTAAAGATAAAATATTTTTTATTATTGTATGTTTGTATTATTTTGTTTTACTCAATTTATTTTAGTATTAAACTTCTTATACGGAAATATAATTATAATATATCAAAGTTTGTACCACTAATAAACTTAGAAACATTACATGGTCAAAATAATATACATAATACTACTGTCCCACATCAACCCTACATACTCCCATTATTCCCAAATATTCACAAACTTAACTTAAAAAAACTTCTATCATCATTTTTAATTTTTGACAATTATTTTAGCTTATTGTTAATTTTAAGTAAATATCATTATTCTTAAAAAATATATTTATGTTATTTTAAATTAATAATAAATATATTGTTTATATTAATTTACATTTTCCAAACTATTTTTTTCTGAAGTTCATATTTTCATAAATATTATTATCACTTCGCTTTAAAATTCCTGAATAAAACCAATAAAAAAAATATATAAATTAAATATAATTAGTTATAGTTGATTATTTTTGAAAGAATAAATATAAATTTCAAATAGAATAAGACTAATAAAATATTTTTGCAGATTATTTCTAGTGACGTTGATAACCTTCTGAGTGATTACGGAAATGTGCTTTTAACTTTAACAAATAATTATGGATTGTCTGAAAAGGTAAAATTATTGTAGCAATCGCTATATTTTATTATTCATAAAAATATTTTTGTAAATCAAAATAAAATATTCTTCACGTTTTTAATTAATAGTTTAAAATTGAAGATTTGATTGAAAAATTGAAAAATACATTGATTCTATTAAACGATTCTCAAAAAAATATTTATCTCCAATATAAATCAAAAATAGAAAGTGCAATTCGTGAACTTGAAATCGTACACACAAATATAATTAAAAAGATGGTATGTTTGCATGTTTTAATATCAATTAATTTTGATTATAATTCATTTAATTATAAATTAGTAGTTAAAATACTCTTATTTAGTTTCTGTATATATTTTGAATATATGTATTATTGAAGTTTAATTGTGGTGTGGATATTGCACATCTGTTTATAAAACATTTGTATACAACTGTTATAATTAAAAATTAAAATATCCAAATGTGTAATAAATGTAAAATGATCAACTAATCCTTTATAATATGATTTTGATCATAGTATATTACAAAAGGATACCTGATTTTTGATTCATAATTTTTTTTAAGATCCTTAAAGTATTAATATTTCTAATAGATTTAAAATATTTCATAGTATAATTTAAATTTTTGAACAAATAAAATAATAAGGCTAAGTTTTTACTTTGAATATTAAAATTTATACAAATTATATATGAAAACTAAAATCATATCTTTTGAAAATAAAATATTAATTATATATATTTTTTTATGATAATAAATTGTTGGTTTGAAATGTCTGAATTAAATATATTAAGTATTAAATATTTAAAGTGATTTAAAAAAAATAAAAATCTTAATTACATCCATAAAAATTAAAAACTCGCTTCGTAGTATGTTCTATCTCAAATAATTAAATGTTGTATAAATGATTTATTTTCAGAATTCAAATATCAAAGTTGATAGCACGATTCTTCNTTCAAATATCAAAGTTGATAGCACGATTCTTCCCACTGATATAAGTAGCTTGAATGCACCTAGTGTATTTGTACCTATTAGTTTAGAAAATAGCATGAATTCCTACCCTACAATTTCCACTCCTAAAATATTATTAAAAAATATAGAACAAAATAAAAATTTATTGAACTCTGATAATACTAAAATTGAGGTAAGTCAAAACAACATTCTTCAGAGAAGTGATACTCTTAGAAGCCCAAAACTAGTTCGTAAGGTTTTACAAGAAATGAAAAATGATTATAAAATCAAATCATCTTCCAATGAGAGTCAAAACATAATTCCAGATATTGAACATACACAACTAACTATTGATACTCCTAATACGAACATAGAAATAAATGACGAACATAATAACATAGATAATACAATTGATAAAAAATCTAAGCTATTTACTTTCAAATTTTCAAATGTTTTTGGTAAAAAATCAAAAATAATTGATAATGAAGGAAAGTATGTAGAATCAAACAAAGGTATTAATATCGAAAATGACGATAATAAGGTTCAATTGGTTAACTTCAGAAGATTAGATAGTCAAAGTTCATATCTATGTGGTTCTAAAGAGCTAGCTCTTAATGAAAATAATAATCATGGTGAAAGCTCGCTATTGAACAATGTCAATTTACGAGTTGCAAATATCCTTCAAACAAATGAAATGGGTGAACCTATGAAAGAAACATCACAAAATTTAATTAAAAAAAATGTTCATAATAATAAACAGCAAATTGAAGAAAAAGATGACCTATTATATACGCGTAGAAAGATTTATAACAGAGATTTTGAAATAAATAAGGTACCAGAACAAATAATGTTCCGAAATATTAATCAAAATTTAGAAACTAACATTATATTTTCGGAGTTTAAAGNAATCAAAATTTAGAAACTAACATTGTATTTTCGGAGTTTAAAGTAAGCAGGACAAGAAAAATAATACGAAAAATATATATAGAAGATGGAAAAGAAACAATAGTTGAAGAAGTCGTAGATGATGATCCATATAATGAAAATTCAGAACAAATAGAAAGAAAAATTGACAATCAATCATATAAAAAATCATTTGATGTTATAGACAGTCCAAGTATAGTGAATAAATCCACAGAAACAATAAAAAATAATTCACAATCAACCATTGTTAGTAAAACTCGAACTGTGAAAAAAATCATTATTAACGGAAAAGAACATATTATTGAAAATGAAATGACAGATTTTGAATCTGGTGGCCAAAATGAAAGTATAGAATATAAGCCTAGTAATAGTGACATAAAATCATTACAAAAAATAAAAACTAAAAGTAAATTCAATGAAAATAAAATTAATACTTATAATGAACTCGTATCTGGAAGTNATAGTGACATAAAATCATTACAAAAAATAAAAACTAAAAGTAAATTCAATGAAAATGAAATTAATACTTATAATAAACTCGTATCTGGAAGTGAAAAAGGGATGAGCATACTAGGTAGAGAAATTAAACGTGACACTACAATTCAATTACCACTTATCATTCCAAGAAAGTTCAAAGAGAAAAGTCAAGTAAAAAGTGACTTGCCATTTGTAAAGAGTGAAACAAATTATGAAAAACACTCTATGCCACATAATAACATAGATATCACTAATATAAATGAAAAATCAATGGAAAAAAAATATTCTGAATCTTATTTAAAAAAAGAGCAGAAAATAAACAATAATTTTGAATCAACAAGTTTTAATACGCAAAAAATAATACCATCCGGAAGAAATGAATCATTTAGAAACGAATTTATTGTAAAAGGATTATTAAATTTAAATAACCAAGGTGGTATTGCACAAACTGAAAATAGTTACATTGAATATACTGAACAAAAAAATGCACCACATATAAAAAAACCAACTTTACAAATTAATAATAAAAAAATAAAAGAAAAACCACAAAACTTAGAAATAGATGACACCAGAAAACCTATACCAAAAGTTAGAAAGTCCAAGGAAACAGACGAAAATATTATTAAAAGTATATCAGATTGTGAAATGAAAGAAAAAACTAAAGAAGGCAAAAACTTCTCTGACGAAATTACATATCAAAAAAAAATAAAACGAAACATACAATTAAAGAAAGAAAAACCACAATCATTGTTAACAAAACTAATGGGAAAAAGCAAAAACCTTAATAAACATGAATTCAAAACAACAAAACAGGAATTCTTCAAAACAGATAAAGACAAGCAAGATATAGCTCAAAAAATAGAATTAGGATCGCCACCAACACCCAAACCAAGAAAAATAAAAGATATTCAAATTACAAACAATAGAAACAAACATAAAAACCCTAAAGCCATTGATGTAACGAAAATAACTAACGTACAATTACCCAATATAGAACATATGGAGATATATAATAGTAGTTACAGAGAGTATGGAAAACCAGATATACCGAATAACTCTCTTCCAAAAATCACCCAAAATGATCCGAAACTAATAAATAAAATGTATGTAAAAACAATAAATGCCGTTGTTGAAATACCGGGCTCCGATATAAAAAAGACTGAAAATCCCAGTCAATTTGACGTTATATTACCAGAAGTTAAACAAACGTCGGACAATAAAACAGCGCTTATCAGAAGAGACAATGTACACAGAAAATTGCAAGGTGTTGAATTGCCATATGTAGACGTAAAAATATTAGACGAACAAAAACCAATAATTTATATGGACAAATCTAAATCGAAAACATTCATAAGTAGATTCATAGGGCAAACTAAAAAAAGCAGTGAAGAAAAATTTCCAGAAAATGATATAGTACCTGAAGTTGATATAAAAGCAGAAATATCACAATTTTTGGAAAAGGAAAGAAATATCTATGAAGACTCAAAAACAATAGATGAAAAACACGCAAAAGACATCCTAGATGAGGATATAATAAAAGCCAGACTGATCGACGAAACATTACCCGAGGTTGAACAACAATCACTCAATATAAAATCTCCCATAGGAGAAGGCAAATTAACTGCGAAATTGCCAGATGTTGAATTGCAATCAGTAAACGTCAAATTATATGATGTTGAACTACCATCACTAAATGTAAAATCTCCCAAAGGAGAAAGCAAATTAACTGCGAAATTGCCAGAGGTTCCATTGCCATCAGTAGACGTCAAATTACCTGACATTGAACAACTATCACTAAATGTAAAATCTCCTAATGTAGAAGGCAAAGTAGACATTGCCATACCTGAGGTTGATTTGCCAACCGTGAATGTAAAACCTCCTAAAAGAAAAAGCAAACAAGCTGACAAAAGCCAAAAGGATGGATTTATTTCTGTAGACTTGGAAACAAAAGAAGTGCAAACGTCGAATGTGGATATTGGCACAAAGAAATCGACGTCATTTATCGGAAAATTAATAGGTAAAACAAAAAAAGGTGTAGTAGGTAAATTTCCGGAAAATGACTTAGTGTCCAAGCCAGAATTATCTATATTTATTGAAAAGGAGAAAGAGTCCTTCGAAGGCCTAAAGGCACAAGATGTACAAATTCCGAATGTAGAATTACCTGAATTGGACATTAAAATGACCCGTAAGGACATAAGTTTATCAGACGTTGAAATGCAATCAATAGACGTTAAATTGCCGAACGTTGAAGTTGCATCGCTAAATGTAAAATCTCCTAAAGTAAACGACAAAGTAAACATAACGATACCGGATGTTGAACTACCATCACTAAATGTAAAATCTCCCAAAAAGGAAGTCAAATTAACTGCGAAATTGCCAGAGGTTACATTGCCATCAGTTGACGTCATACTACCTGACGTTGAACTACCATCACTAAATGTAAAATCTCCCAAAAAGGAAGTCAAATTAACTGCGAAATTGCCAGAGGTTACATTGCCATCAGTTGACGTCATACTACCTGACGTTGAACTACCATCACTAAATGTAAAATCTCCTAAAGTAGACGGCAAATTAACTGCGAAATTGTCAGATGTTGAATTGCAATCAGTAGACGTCAAATTACCTGACGTTGAACTACCTTCACTAAATGTAACATCTCCTAAAATAGACGGCAAAGTAGACATTACGATATCGGATATTAAACTACCATCACTTAATGTAAAATCTCCCAAAGGAGAAGGCAAATTAACTGCGAAATTGCCAGAGGTTACATTGCCATCAGTAGAAGTCAAACTACCTGACGTTGAACTATCATCACTAAATGTAAAATCTCCCAAAAAGGAAGGCAAATTAACTGCGAAAATGCCAGAGGTTACATTGCCATCAGTAGAAGTGAAACTACCTGACGTTGAAATACCATCTCTAAATGTAAAATCTCCTAAAGTAGACTGCAAAGTAGACATTACGATACCGGATGTTGAACTACCATCACTAAATGTAAAATCTCCCAAAAAAGAAGGCAAATTAACTGCGAAATTGCCAGAGGTTACATTGCCATCAGTAGACGTCAAACTACCTGACGTTGAACTACCATCACTAAATGTAAAATCTCCTAAAGTAGACTGCAAAGTAGACATTACGATACCGGATGTTGAACTACCATCACTAAATGTAAAATCTCCTAAAGTAGACGGCAAAGTAGACATTACGATACCGGATGTTGAACTACCATCACTAAATGTAAAATCTCCCAAAAGAGAAGGCAAATTAACTGCGAAATTGCCAGATGTTGAATTGCAATCAGTAGACGTCAAACTACCTGATGTTGAACTACCATCACTAAATGTAAAATCTCCTAAAGTAGACGGCAAAGTAGACATTACGATACCTGATGTTGAACTACCATCACTAAATGTAAAATCTCCTAAAGTAGACGGCAAAGTAGACATTACGATACCGGATGTTGAACTACCATCACTAAATGTAAAATCTCCTAAAGTAGACGGCAAAGTAGACATTACGATACCGGATGTTGAACTACCATCACTAAATGTAAAATCTCCCAAAAGAGAAGGCAAATTAACTGCGAAATTGCCAGAGGTTACATTGCCATCAGTAGACGTCAAACTACCTGACGTTGAACTACCATCACTAAATTTAAAATCTCCCAAAGGAGAAAGCAAATTAACTGCGAAAATGCCAGAGGTTACATTGCCATCAGTTGACGTCAAATTACCTGACGTTGAACTACCATCACTAAATGTAAAATCTCCTAAAGTAGACGGCAAATTAACTGCGAAATTGCCTGATGTTGAATTGCAATCAGTAGACGTCAAACTACCTGACGTTGAACTACCATCATTAAATGTAAAATCTCCTAAATCTGATGGCATAGTCGATATTACGATATCGGAGGTCGAATTACCAACAGTGAGCGTAAAAATTCGTAAAGGACAAGGCAAGCTAACTGCAAAATTGCCATCAAAAGACGTCAAATTACCAAATGTTGAACTACCATCACTAAATGTAAAATCTCCCAAAGGAGAAGGCAAGTCATTTATTGGAAAACTTATAGGTAAATCAAAAAAAGGTGTAGTAGGTAAATTTCCGGAAAAAGACTTAGTGTCCAAGACAGAATTATCAATATTTTTGGAAAATGAGAGAGAATCATTCGAAGGCCTTAAGGCACAAGATGTACAAATTCCGAATATAGAATTACCTGAATTGGACATTATAATTACCCGTAAAGACATAAGTTTACCAGATGTTGAATTGCAATCAGTAGACGTCAAATTACCGGACGTTGAACTACCATCACTAAATGTAAAATCTCCTAAAGTAGACGGCAAAGTAGACATTACGATACCGGATGTTGAACTACCATCACTAAATGTAAAATATCCCAAAAGAGAAGGCAAATTAACTGCGAAATTGCCAGATGTTGCATTGCCATCAGTAGACGTCAAACTACCTGACGTTGAACTACCATCACTAAATTTAAAATCTCCCAAAGGAGAAGGCAAATTAACTGCGAAATTGCCAGAGGTTACATTGCCATCAGTAGACGTCAAACTACCTGACGTTGAACTACCATCACTAAATGTAAAATCTCCCAAAGGAAAAGGCAAATTAACTGCCAAAGTGCCAGAGGTTACATTGCCATCAATAGACGTCAAACTACCTGACGTTGAACTACCATCACTAAATTTAAAATCTCCTAAAGGATTAGGCAAATTAACTGCGAAAATGCCAGAGGTTACATTGCCATCAGTAGAAGTCAAACTACCTGACGTTGAACTACCATCACTAAATTTAAAATCTCCCAAAGGAGAAGGCAAATTAACTGCGAAAATGCCAGAGGTTACATTGCCATCAGTAGACGTCAAATTACCTGACGTTGAACTACCATCACTAAATTTAAAATCTCCCAAAGGAGAAGGCAAATTAACTGCCAAAGTGCCAGAAGTTACATTGCCATCAGTAGACGTCAAACTACCTGACGTTGAACTACCATCACTAAATTTAAAATCTCCCAAAGGAGAAGGC